TGTTTTTTTGGTTTTGGATATAGCTTCTCTGTTTCAAGTGTATTCCCTGGGCTGTTTTATAACAGATATATCTTCGGATTGTCACTGTCGGAGGAGGTGTAGCGCGTTGAATTTCTGGTTTCTGAACCATGGTCAGTGGCTATAAATACACAGGAAGCTGGAGGCCATTTCAAAGTTTCTCAACCCCAAATCAAGCAAATATCATAATTGGAGATGTGGCGTTCAGCACTCTTGTGATTGCTAGCTTCCAAGTTGCTCTTCTATTTATGGATGGTATAGTAGCCATCGAGAAATAGACATCATTGTACTTCTTACGAGGCTAAGAGTAGCCTCTAGCTTGCTGTTATAAAAACACTATCATCATCATTATTGTTGAGTCCTATCAATATCCTCTTCACGTCGTCGAATAAGTGTAACGATTTCATTACGATGTTCGTTTCTACCACTACAAAAAAATTCCGTCATCTTTCTCAGTACACACCTCTTGATATTCTTCATCATCGAAGTCCCCAAAATTCACACAAAAAGATTCGAGACTCCAATGTCCTATGCAAATGATACCTTTCACGATTCGCACAAGTGTGACAGAACACATCTGAAACGAGTTCAAGCTCTCTCATCTATGTTTATCCCCTTTTCGATAGTCTCTCTGGGACTTTATACTATACCCTGATCCCAAATATCGAGCATTGAAACTTGGGGATCGGGCAGGGGAAGCTCTACATATCCAGATTCAATATTCTTGTAGAAAGAAGATTACGTATCAATTGCAAAGTAATACAATCCAATCCTTGAATCAAGGGTTATAGGATGTCTCTCTTTCTTAGAAAATAGCACATTGATATCATCTCCTTTAACCATCTCTTGGTATTCATTTTACTCAAATGTTTTCAATTTTATATAAGAGATGTTGGTAATGTACACAACAAAAATAACAATACGAAGAAAGATCTCGAGAATGACAATGAGATAGTGTTGCGAGAGCATTTACTCCTCAAATCCATAACGTACACCAAGCGCTTGACTGAAGCTGTGATATTCATACAATCAATGCGCAGATATTGTGATATATGAATCCCACAACTCCTGTAATCCTGTATCAAGCTTCCCATACAACATGACATCTCTCTTCCATCAAAGGACAAAGTACGTCGTTATATACTCTGCCCGAAGCCCAGAATATCCTAGTAAATAAATCCCCTCATCTCTCAAAAACTCATCCCAAAGAAGAAAATTACTCCAGCCGTTGCTAGGTAATCAGCTCACATATCAGATGTGGAACTAGCAATCCATCCATCTCATACCTATAAATAAGAATCAAATCTCATCTCCGATCCGATTTCTCGACATGCGGGATGTGAAGCAAGAGACAAAGTGTGATTAGGCTGTTTTTTTTTTCTTCGATTCTCCGATCCCGTCGTCTCGGCGAATTTGGAAAGTGATGTGAAGAGTGAGTTGGGTTTGTTTTATTTTCATGTTTTCAATATCTTTTTTATTGTTCTACCTAGGTGGATGACTTTGATTGCCATTTTTATCTCAAAGTTGTATTTCACAGTGAGAAATTGTGGGTTGGTTGATCGATTGATCGACGATATATGCGAATACGGGTAATTCTCGATGAGAATACATATAATGAGGCTGTGGTTGTAGTAATATTTCCAAAGTCTACACATGCCCGCAAGTCATTTGAGGGTGTTGGTGGCTGAATACTCACTACCCTGATAGGTTATATCTATTTGATAATTTATTTTTATAGGGTTGAAGTTTTTGCAAGATGGGGAGATTATATATTGCGAGGATGGTGCAGTATCGATACTTATTAGGACAGAGAGGAATACATGTTCATCTAAATCATCAATATCCGTATCATTTTGATTACCATACACTCTCATTTATCATAACTATAAAACCACCCTCTGAATTCTCGATAATCTTCCCTCCAAATATCACAAGACAAAAAAAATGCTATCTAAGGCTCTCTCATCTCCATCCTCATCCTTCGTATACCTTTATTCTGGGGATTGCGGGAATATGAATGGAGAATGGAAAATAATATTGGTCATCAGGTATGCGAAGCGCAAGATACTGAGCGAACAGATATAATTTTTGCTGTTGAGGGATTGGATTCGAAATTTTGATGATATATATTAGATATATATTAGGTATATATTAATCAATACATCAAAAATAACAACAGCAACAAACACATCGAAAATCTCTACATAAACTCCCCTCCTCCGCACACATTAACAACTTTACTTCCTGAAGTTCTCATTCACCTAGTTGTATAAAATCCTTTTGCGTTTTTAAAATGAGTATTCTGTCTTTGTACAGATTTGGAACTTATCGGTGGTTTAGATATTTGTATATCTTCTAGTGCTGGAGAATGATGAATCATGGTTTTTCTAGTTAGGTTCAGTGACCGAGATGCGTGGAAATTGGATGTGCTTATATAAGGAGTTGTATATATGTATAAGTACGTGAAGATTAATTGATTTTGAAATATAAAAGTACTTTGTTAGTTGGATTTTTTTAATATGGTTATTTGGTTAGAATCCCTAAGACATCGATGACAAGGTGCTCGTGGATGTTTTTCTGTGTCATAGATATGTGAAGTTATCATGGAAACCCATTTAAATTACAGATCGGCGATATCTACATGGTATACATACTATAGTTGTAAATTCGAGACTGGACGAACTACAAAATGACAGCAAGAATCGCGATTCTCCAAACAACGACAAGTTAGACGACAGTGATGATTTCACCAGGTTTCTTTTCGTCAAAGATGGAAGCGGAGATTGTAGGGGATGTGCAGTTTGTAATGGGATGTATGATGATAGTATGGTGTGTGAAGTTTTCTGTGCTTCGTTCTTAGTTCTCTATGGGCGCAATGATGAGGTGTTTATTGTTCTGATACTGTGTGAAGATGGTGAGTGAAGTGATTTTTATATATCCCTCGAATGCTTTTTTGAATACCTACTAAACACTTATTCTATCTTTCCCAGCCTGCAAATTTCTATAAGAAGACCAAAGAGTATGCTGTAACACGATAACCACAGTTCGATAGCATTGTTGCAAAAGGATGAAATGGTTTGTTGGCCGAGAAAACATATCATTCAGAGAATTCAAGCAGACGTGTTTTGAGAAGTGGAAGGAGGGTGGTGATGTTGAATATGGGTTGTGGAAGATTCGATATTAGACGTTGAGGATCAAGTGATGACAACTACCTAATAATAGTTGATAGCAAAATATGTAAAATTCGACGAAAAGTATGTGATTAACTAAGAGGACAAAAATGATCATCGTAGATATCAAAAGATGAGATAGGGAAAAGACGGATGAGCATTCTTCGAGTGAAGGCCTCAGAGGAGATTCCTTGGGGTGGGTCTTTGAGCCTGATTTATTGGCTTATTGATTGGGAGAAAATGAACTGGATGAGTGATTTATATAGGGAAAATTACTTTTTTTGAGAATAGTTTTAGGGAGTGGAATGACTCAGATGATCAGTTTTGTATTATGAGGCTTTCGATTGTTATGATGTAAGGATGCAATTCTCTTTGCGATTCCGCAGGAGCACTTTCATTCTTCATTTACACAGCAGGACCTGGAAAAATAAAGTTCTCTATCATCAATAAATAACAAATAAACACACGAGAAGAGAATCGGCGCAAGGAAAGCTGAGATGGGATGAGAATAGCATGCTGTGGTACAAAACTTGAGCCCGGGATATGATCGAGTGGTTAATGACTGAATAGATTCGAAGAGTGGAGTGAAAAGCAGGATTCTATAGGTACAAAATGATGATAGTAAAATAAAGATATTTAATAGTGACACTATGCATAAAAACATCTCAAATAGACGACAAAAATCAAACACGGCAGCGATAATCAGATTCACAATATTAAAAGATCTCCATGAGCTCTCCAGAAATCGTTATGAAGACAACTTGTCAGCAGTTGCAAAAATCAGATCATCTGCAATGTACGACTGACATCCTGAACAACCTCGTTAGGTGGGTTTAATGTTGTTTAAAGTGAAGCGAAAAGAAGGGTCCAAAAAGTGGGTTTATATACCTTCTCTAAGTATGGAATGTGTCTGCTGAGATACAAAGTGAGGTCAAGTAAGCATATACGAATCCAAGAGATGAAAGAACATAGCGAGTGATCTCGACTTCGCTTAAAAAGGAACGAATTGTCGTTTATATAACGACGCTTGGATACACTCACCTTTAGGTATAGTTTAAAAGACACTGGTGGAGAACCCTCATGTTCGGCATGGCTGGTCACGATATTTCTAACTTCTAAGGCTCACGTGGCCAAGAAAACTGCTGCACTGCACAAATATTGGCAGCTGAAGAGGTTCGTGGAGGAATGCATTACTAGTCGAGATATCCAAATCGACAGCGCTAGAGATTCACTGAACAGTCATAAAAGTGTAGTGATGGCATAAAATTTCGACAGCAAGAACGGTAGCACAAACGACAAAAAGAGGGGAAACAGAGGGAAAACAGACCACATTATGAATGAAAGAATATGGTTTCTGGCTACCTTTACTTTTGAATTCAGTCTTTCCCCTAGAACAGTTTTGTACGCTCTTCACTTGGGCAAATTGCCGATTTGATGTACGAGTTGATGTAAATAGATGTCGGTATATATAGTAGACTGTTGATGCTGGTTTCACTTAGTTTCGCTTAGTGACTTCTCGTTAGTTGAGTTAAACTAGTTGGGTAGTCACGGTTTGAATCGATGCTAGTTGCAGCTTTGTCCATTCGGACTTTTCTACGTAAATTCATTTCGTGAGTTCAGAAATGGCAATAAAAAAGATAACATGAGTTCTTCACGTATGAAGGTTATGGAAAGCAATCTATCGAAGTTTGATGTTCTGGAGCTTCTATATAGGGGCTTGGCCAATATCAGGTTTGTACCATTCACAGAGCGGGACTATCCGCGGCAAACCGAGTCTACCGAGCCAACTTCTTCCCCATCTCAACTTGCCATCTAGGCCCAAATCGTTTCGTAACCCCAAAACTGAGAACTTGCTGATCCATCCAATAATGGCTAGTATCGTAAATAGCTACCCGTCTCCAATGACTTGCAGCAAAGGTTGCGCAATCACTGATCCGACACAGCTGAAAATTGTCCGTACAAATATACATACTGCTACACCACACGAACTTCGTTTGGGGAGAAACTCCGTGAGCCTATTTTTGCATGAGTTGAAAATTCTCAAAATGGTTTATTGACGTCATGAAGGGGATATACTAACATCAGGGGGACTATCCAATGAAGTCTCTTCTCCGCAGTCCACCCAAACCATAAAAGACCAGCAGGATAAATAGCAGCAGCAAGTAAAACATTTTCTCTCATGCGATCTTCCGGTCGGAGAATAAGTTTTCCAGATCCATCTAATCGACCTGCAGCACGAGCTTCTCCATGCATGATAGCATCCGACCGTTTTCCTCCCACAAAACCTGTAAAAATATAGCCTATGAGCCCAGGATATATGTCAGCTCGACTTCTACCCCAGAGAAATCATACAGCTCCTCCCGATGGCTGGAAATTGAAGATAGCCCAATATCTTTAGTTGATCAGTTATTGACTTTTTTAAAATGACTACCACCCTTTTCATTCTATGTTGAATGGATGGCGAAGTCGGCAAGGGAGCAAAATTAGCTCGATGGGATGTAATGTTCCCACCAGCAAGTTCCTCGACAACTGGGGTTCGTCTTGCGAGTGTCTCAGGAAGGCAAAATAACAATAGAATCAATATTAACTCTCCATAGATAGTCTGAAACCATTGGGTACTTCTCCAGCCCCATTTTTTTGCTACTTCTCCAACAATAATCGGAGCTAGAAACTGCCCAAGCATAGGACTCAGGAAGAATATCCCCGTCGCACGACCGCGCTTTTTTGGCTCCCAAATATCCGCAATAGTTTCTGTACCAATAGCTAAGAAAGAGGCAGCTGAGCCCCTCCTAAATCTCTCATTACAGTCAGCATTGTCATTGAAGTAGATATTGTGGTAATAGCACTCCATAATGTGAAAAATGCGAAAGATGCCAGGTATATTGTCCGACGGCCAAATAGTCCCGAAAAGGCAGACCACCAGAGTGGAAATATCGACATCACTAGAAGATACATAACCACAGCAAGATTGGTGAGTGTTTAAAAGCATGGAAGTCTTCCGATAGTTCAGTGAGTGCAACTGCGCAGAGGGTCAGCACTTGTAGCAGCATGAAATGTGGTAATCGAGTGATAGGGAAGACATAAAGACTCACGAAAGAATATAGCACTTCCTAGAGGTGCCACGGCACCTGCCACCGCAGCAATGAATGTCATTAACCATTAAGTACCATTTTTATAGCTTTGTGGATATTTGACTTCTGGTATAATAGTCAATAGCCCAAGTAGTCCTCGCCGTTTTGATCGTGGTACTACCATTGCCGTAGGGGGATGCTCCAACGCCGGGCTCAATCCTTCGCTCGGAGTAGTTTCTGGACGCACAGAAGCTGGACTAGTAGACTGGTTAAATGACTCAATTTCCTCGCTCGACTCTACATCTTGGGTAGCTGTGGTTTTTGGATCGTGAATCTCTTGAGGGAGTGCTCTGTTGGCCTCTGCCTTTTCTCATCTACCACCATTCTGTTGTACACAACACAGACCAAGAACATGCAGTTAAAATAAAACTTCTGTTTAGAATTGTAGGATTGAGATAATTTTGGTAGATATCTGAATGTGAATAGAGATTTTTTGTCGAGAAAAAAAGATGCGAGTGATGAAGAAAAAACAAAAAGGAGCAGATAGAACGAGCTCAAAGGGCCAGAGAAAAAAAAACTTATTTCATGCGTCTGTACGTCAATGAACCGTCAGCTTCGAAGGTCTCGATGGGGACGGGATAACTCGATGCCGCGAACCAAATATACCGATAAGTTTGAAGCTTACGAAACTCGGAGACCCTTCCGTTGACAAATGTTCTAATTTCGGAAGCTCCGATGATGTCGTCGGGCTCGAGCCCGGAAGCTAGTCCAACGTTATCTAATCTCAATTTGGAAGATCAACCGTCGCCCTCCAGTTTCTCCGTCTCGGTCTTCGAGTTTAGCTCAAAAGAACTGGGGGTAATGTGCTCCTTTGATATAAGAAGCACTCTTCAGTAGTCTATAAAAAGTTTTCTTAACTCACTATAACACACCATCTCCGAATATTCATCACATCAACTTCTCAAACTTTCTGCAATATCGTATTCATCAGTTTAAGATATGGAGAACGTTCTTATTATCGGAGCCACTGGAAACATCGGTGTCGCAGCAGTACTTGGAGCCCTGCAATCTAAGCGGCATGTGCTTGCAATAGTGAGGAATCAGGCCTCTGTAGACAAATTATTCAAACATGTGGGAACAAAGAACGGCATCACAACAGTCGAGGCCGACATCATGTCGGAAGGAGGAGTGCAAACTGTGGTGGACCAAGTCCGGGCTGGGAAACTGCCAGGTTTTCAACACGTTTACTCTGCTGGTAAGACCATAATATCCCTGATTTGTTCTTTGCTAATTCTTAATGAAGCTGGAGGTGCATACGGTGCAACGCCTTTGACTGAGCTAACCCTCAAGGAATTGCGTCAAATCATGAGTGTCAACTTTGAATCCAACTTTTGTAAGATCTCTATAGTTGTAGTAGCAGCTTTGATATACCCACTAACTTCCATAGTCGCTTATCGTGCAACCATCCCATATTTGCTGGAGCAAAAGAAAGCAACTAGCTTCACACTCTGCACCGGAGCACAGGGTAATATTGGGGCTCGCGCAGCACCAGCCATCTCACAAGGTCCCCTCTTCTCGAGGACAGAGCGCTCCTGCTTCATTCCATCCTGTTGCCCATCACCTCCATTGTACAACTGGGCAAGCGTTCAACCGAACCGAACCTCTAACACTATTTAATCAGAATTTTCAGTGAAGATATGGATACTCGAGCACCAAAAACGCAGAAGGTGACAACGGCTTGTGATCCCTGCCGAGGCCGGAAGGTAGCAGCAGGTCCAATGTAGATTATAGCGACATTTACTAAATTCCGTTGACAGGTCAAATGTGATGGTCATCAACCAGGTATTACCCACCAACTAAGTATTGAGTTTTCAACGTCACTTATATGTGCTAATCATTCCATTCTCATAGTGTGCGGACCATGCGAGAAAAGGTCAAAGTCAGTTTCCTGCACTTGGGTCACGGACTTTTCACGTGCTCCAGCATCCGCAGATTATATCAGACGCCTCGAAGATCAAATCAAACTGCTGGAAGCACGTAACAGTCAAGATTGCCAGATCTCACCCAGCAACAACCAAAGTTCAAATAGTGCTTCTAGTGCCTCAGAAGACTTATCAGCAGAGACCAAAAGTAGTCATGGAGCTACGACTTCAGCTTCACCTGCATCTGCAACATGGCTTTCTACAGTTGCGTGGGAGGGATACCCGTCAATGAATACGCCGGAAATGAGCACCAATCAATGGCAGTCTAATTTGGCTCCCACAATCAGCCCAGGGCTAGTTCCTTCATTTCAAGAGCTCTCAAAAAGCATTGATACTATGTGCACCTCTAGCATTCGTCCCATACATAGAATTGTAGTGGATCATGATCACGGGACCGATGTTGTTGAGAACACTTTTGCACAAAGTTTCATGCAAGAAGTGGAGAAATTAGTCGCAGAGAAAATCGGTGAAGCATCCCCATCTGCATCAAATATTCTTGGCTTTGGTCCTAATACTTCCCCATCCCCAGTGTCATCTTATGGATCACGACAAAGAGATCCGGAGTACGTTTTACCAGCTCGGGAGCGAGCCGATAGCCTACTCACATCTTATTTTGAGAACGTTCATGTTTTATATCCATTTTTGGATAAATTGGACTTCCAAGAAGAGTATGAGAAAATTTGGAGCTGCGACAACTGCAAATCTGATCAAGGGGCGTTAATTTGTCTAATCAACTCGGTATTCGCTATTAGCAGCCGCCAAACGAGAACAACAGTTTCAAGCCATGAGAATATGGCTGTCATCTTTTGCAGAAGAGCACAAGGATTCCTCAACAGTCAAGAGTGTTCAGTCCGTTCAGTTCAGTCATATCTTCTCTTGGCGTTATATTTTCAAAGCATGGGCGAGTCTCGTATGTGCTGGTTATATGTTGGGAACGCAATACGCACAGCTCAGATGCTTGAAGTTCACTTACCTGAAACAAGCGAACGAATAGCCAAAAGTCAAGCTAGAAACTCGCTTCGTAAAGCTTGGCATAGTTGTGTTCTTATGGATAGAGAAGTTTCAATGTCATATAGTCGACCATCTATGATCGATCCACAAGCTGCTGCTATTATCCCGCTCCCCGTACTTGTGGAGGAAGATGACTATCAGCCGATACACAATGAAGAAGAGCCCATCGGAAAGCCGCAAGCTTATACTGCTGATTTCTATAAGTCTTGTATAGAACTTTGCGGTGTTTTACATGCCGTACTTTTCGGTTCACGGTATAGCCAATCTAATATCAATCTAATAGAAGGTCGTTACACTTCCGAGAATGTCGCATCTCCTGGAGCGAACGTTTCCATTATCAGTCTACAGGAAAGGTTGTCAAATTGGGAACGAGACAATCCTGAGCATCTCAGGATTGAGCAGCATCCCACATACAACGATCTAAGTGCTATATCAACCCGTCGAAGAGGGGTTCTTCACCAAAGGTACGAACTCAGATACATGCACAAGCGAATCATGACATCAAACTAACAGTATTCCAAGATATCTCCACATTCAATTATTGTTGTTGACCCCCGTTCTTCAGAAACTCATTGGCACCGAGTTTCAAGAAAAAGCAGAACGTACCCGTCTTGGAAGTTTACTCTCTCATCGAATCTCTCTCCAATGTGCAATTGTATGTGTCAAAATTGCCCAAGAAGCTATCGATACTATACACCATCGCGAGACTTTAGGTTCGAATGAGATCTCTCCATGGTGGTGCAATGTAATATTCTTGTACAAGTCTGCAACAGTATTGATCGCAGGAGGTCTTTGCCCTTCAATCGTGGCTGAAATATCAGAAACCGCAATGCATGAAAGTTTCTCCAAAGCCACTGCAATTCTCAGACAACACACTACTTTCAACTCGTCAGTCCTCCGTCTAGTCACCATATTAGATATCCTGTTCCAAATCGTGCCTCAAAAATTCTCCCGCTTGAAGAAAGCTTCTCAACGGGTTGAAGCCGAGGCCAGGCCACCTACCCCCAATGACGATAACAGCGCGGCAACATTCCAGTACTGGTGTCCGATAAAACCAATCCGTCATGCCGCATCTGCTCATCAAGATACCGTGCATCGTAGCCCCGAAAATAGTGGTTCATCTCAGATTCTCACGGATTTGGACCGGCGTTTTGACACGGACGATTTTACATGGCTTAATAAGATGCCTTTTGATACTTGAGGAAGTCCTGGTATTCGAGTTGGTGAAATGATTGTGTCGGAATCGAAAAATCACAATAGAATAATGGATGCTTAGATGCATAGCCGCTCGAAGACTGGGAGCCGTGGAATGACCAATCGATCTGAGACAGATGTGCCTAGGTACTCACCAATAGTTGCAAAAGGGTGTTTCCATATGCCTTAAAGAAAACAAGCTGCACAGCCGTGAAGTATTGATACCTACCTATCCTCAATCCCAGAATAAAGATGGATGAACGTGTCTCAATTCTTATGATGACCTCTACTCAAGCACATCATTATATGATCGTTGTCCACATATATTTCTCCTCAGATTTTTCATATGTATATATATTGACAGTTATCGTTCCACATGATCATGGATCTCTCATATCATCTGAATTTTCTCATGGTCCAAATTACTCCTGGCACCAATGTGTAACGCACAGTATAATGGATTTCTATGGATTTTGGCGTTAGCTCTCGGTGTAATATGGAGGTTTATTATACCTACCTACTAGGTAGGTAGGCAGATCTTCTCATTCACTCGAATAACTGAGAACTTTCCGATGTATATCTACATTGTTCAGAACTTGACTCAGCAAAATTACGATGATCAATTCTTCCAACCTATAACATGAGACGAGAACACGCGGTGCTGTATTTCTTCCCATCAGATGAAAATATGCTAATATTCCTAATATAGCGTGATATGTTTCAAAACGTAAAATGTACAATGATAAATTTCCCCCACCCCACAAAAATCTACAACTTACTCCCCACCAGACTCCCTCCATCCAACGGGATCGTCGCCCCATTAACATAACTCCCCGCCTTACTAGCCAAGAACAAACAAGCACCTGCGACATCCTCCTTACTTCCAATCCTCCCCAGCGGAATCCCACTCACAATCTCGTTTTTGAAATTCTTGAGCGTAGCTGCCATCATTTTACTTTCAAATGGTCCACATGCGAGTACATTACTCGTGATATTTCTCTTCCCCAGATGATTCGCGAGAACTCTGCTTAATTGATGTAATCCTGCTTTACTTGCGGAATATGAAAAGGTTTCGAGAGAGGGGACGCGAATTCCATCTACGGAGCCGATATTGATGATACGTGCTGGATCTTCTGGGGTAGAAGCTGCTTCCATAAGAGGAGTAAGTGCTTGAGTAAGAGTAAAGACTCTTGTGAGATTCAGAGTCAAAACTCTCGTCCACGCCGCATCAGGGAATTCCGCATAAGGAGCTCCCCAATTACTTCCCGAGTTATTGACTAAGATATGTAATTTCGATTCTTTCTTTTGCAATTCATCGACCATGCGTTTGCAATCTTCGAGTTTGTAAAAGTCGGCTGGGATGGCGTGTGCGGATCCTTTGCCTGTGGGAAAGAAGAATTAGCTTGGTTGTGTCGCACGAATGGAGAGATGTCGAGGTGCCTACCTAGCGCATTCAATTCTGTGCAGGCTTCTTCGCAGGCTTTGGCATCGCGGGATGAGATGTAGACTTTGGCTCCGTTTGTGACGAAGCCTTCGGATATCATTCGTCCGATTCCCTTTGCGCCGCCGGTAACAAGAACGACTTTGTCCTATTGGGTTTGTGAGTTTATGGATTAGTGATGGAGAGTTTGGTCGATTACCTTGACGTTGAAGAGATTTGCGGCATCCATGATTGTTAGAAGATTATGAAGTGTTTATCTTGCGAAGAATAAGGAAAGGAATGATTTGATGTTGGTGATCAAGGAGGTCGAGAGGAACCACATCTTTTATCGTGCCGAGGTTTCGACGGAAATGACGGAAAGCTTTGGTGTGGCGTAAGGGTGGGTTGTTTTCTATGCTAGGTAAATTATGCTTATATGCTACCTAGGTAATTATAATAGTATGGGGAATGCCCATGGAGCGAGTAATTGTGATTGTGATTTAGAGCCTGCAAAAAATCATCGTGACAGCGTTCTTACGGATATTTGTGTATGGCGCCAGGGTAATGGTTTTTCTACACTATATCAGATCGCACACGGTTATGTGGTGGGTTACCTGCAATACAAAGGTATGAGGGGTGATTGTGAATATGAATTGGAACAACTATAGGGCCTTGAACAAGTGAGAGGGGAGGGCCATAAGGAGTTGCTTCTTCATATTTGCACTCCCATTCCCAGACACACATGGTCTAAAACAAATGTGCGCAATACGAAACCCCATGTAAACGGTATCTGGGGTTAAGGTTTGTCTGAGCCTCGGCTTGACTAAGAACCGGGGTAAGCTCAGCTTACTACCTACCCGACCACGCCTATCGTAGTACCTACCTTAGTGGTGATATGCATAACCGATATATGATATATAAATAATATATACACCATGTAAATGTATTTACATTATGTAAACAGTTTTATATAATATACTACATTATCCCATATTAGCATTATATATACACTATATAAAAAATTTTATATCGTATATACACTATATAAAAAATAATATGAGGTAACTATAAAAAAGCTTTAAAACTAAAAAAAAGAATCTTTGATATTAACTTAATAAATAATTACCTAATCAAATTAATACTAAAGATTTTTTTTTTTTTTTTATCAAAACAATATATACTACTACTACATTATAGGGAATATTAATTTGAATAAAATGACTTAGTAATATTAAAATATATTTGATATTTGAAAAAAAATAATTAAAAAATAATTATTATTGCTTATTAAGTATATAAAAAAGTTTACACTATATAAATTTTTTTATATCATATAAAAAGTTTATATAATGTAAAGAATTCTATACTGTATATATATTATATAAATTCTCAATATCATATATATATTATATAAAATATTTATATCATATATACACCATTTACCGGTTATGTATAGCTCCACTAAGGTACCGGTGGACCTACTTTTATTAGCGCCACAATTGCCACAGATGGATACCCCCACTAGCTGGAGAGTTACATAAGCACGTGATAAGTAACCCGTGGAGGAAGGTCATGCGTTTTTGGTCTTATTAAATAAATTATTGAAACATCTGCACAACAGGAAAACTCATTCACGATTTACACTTCGCGATTTCTGAGTACCTACCTAGGTAGAGAAGAGTGAGATAAGACTACATCATCAGAATCAACTAAGGAAGAAGATTGAAAAAAAGAGTAACATCCATGGCATCAGAACTCAGTTTATCCGGTCCGTCAAGCTTCCATGAAAATTTTGAAATGGTACTAATAAACCATCAGAAACACGTGCTCTCCTCAAAGCCCAATTCGAAGGTCAAGATCCAGCTCAGCACGGCGAGAGATGGGATCAGCTCTGGAGAGACAATGTGATTCCATGGGACAACGAGTCGCCCAATCCAGCACTGATTGATATCTTAAATGAGCGAGAAGATCTAGCTTCGAAGAAAGCTGATGGTTCGAGAAAGAAAGCCTTGGTAGCGGGATGTGGTAAGGGTTATGATGTATTGCTGTTAAGTGCTATGGGTTATGATGCTTATGGGCTGGATATTTCCGAGACAGGTTTGCAGGGGGCTAAGGACACCGAAAAGGAGAAAGATGGGAAAGGTCTGTATGAACCGAGAGACGGAATCGAGAAAGGAAATGTTACGTGGATAGCCGGAGACTTCTTCAAGGATGATTTTTTGACAGTCGTTAATGGAGAGAAAAGCTTTGATTTGATCTATGATTACACGGTATGTGATTCTTTGAGTCTATTATTGTCTAGAATACTAAATCTTGAGAAAGTTTGGTTGTGCATTACCTCCTAGTCTAAGGCCTGCATGGTCTAAACGATATCATGAGCTTCTGTCTCCAGAAGGAAGACTTGTCTGTCTTGAATTCCCCACTACTAAATCTCCATCAATTGGAGGACCGCCATGGGCTATGCCTCCAAGAATTTATGAAGGTCATTTGCCTCGTCCAGGTGAAGTATTGCCATATAATGAGGAGGACTGTGAGTTAGAAGTCGAGAAACTTGGCCTACCACACAAGAATGGCCTTCGGCGTATTGCACACTTTCACCCTAAAAGAACCAACAGGGGTGGATATGATGCAGATGGCAAGATAAATGATTGGGTCAGTGTTTGGTCGCACTAGCTAGAGTCCCGCTTATGATTAGAATATGAACTCAAGTGCTCCTTAGTTACGGTGTTTTTATGGTGCTCTCCGAAGGGAATTATAGTGTTCGCCCAATCCGAATCCGTGTCGATAGTATGCCAGATGAATCGTCTCGGGTTTGTCTGTTCCAGGCTCAATCTTTTGGGCAGCTCCGTTCTGCAAAACACAAATCTCAACGTTATATGTCTTTGCGAGAGCAAGAAGTTCCAAATGACCACCCCATTCCGCAGTATCTCTAATCTTGTGAATATAATTCTCGAGAGGTTCGTCTAAAAATGGAACAAAATCATCTGGGTGTCCTTCGATATATGTTGCGGCTGCTTTGCGCACCACTTTGTAGCGCTGATCGTCCTTCAATCCTTCTGCTTCAGCTCCAAGAGGTATTCCGGCTTGTGATAGTTGATCAGCTATGGCAGAGAAAAGGCAATGTCCATCTGGTCTGATTTGTTTCTCCTGTAAATTTCTCGATACGAATTCCTCCTGCATTCGTTTCCTCTCTACTTCTTTTTCATCAGGCATATTCGCGGCTTCTTTCTTAGCTTCCTCTACAGCAGCTTCTTGTTCTGCTGCTCTTCGTGCAAGCCTTTCTTTCTGTCGATTGCGTTTTTTGGGCTGTCCTGACTCAGATTGTGTTGTTTCCGCAATTGTGGATTTCTCTAAAGAGTCGGTAATATTGTTGACACCATTTACGTCAGTCGCATTCGCAGAAGCTTCCGAAGCTTCCTCGTCAAGCTCTGGAACATCATCGATATCCGGAACATTATCACCATCCAAAGATGCTATCTCTTGAGCTTGCCGTTCCTTCAATTGTCGTTCCAGTTCCTCACATTCGTTATTTACACCTTTGCGAGTCTTCTTCGATGCGCCTTTCTTCTTTTGTGTTATACGTCCTTGCAGATCTTTTTGCTCCTTACGATGTCGACTTTGCATATCTTCGAAGCTCTCCATCTTTATTTCGTGTTTTAGATTTTTGTGGCAGATGTTTTGTTGTGGTGGAATGAGGGGTAGATCTTGTAATTATCGAGACTGGCTCCTCGTTGAGCTTACGAGACACACCCACCACCACTTTTCAGCCAGGATATCAAAAAATTACGATTTGACACGGCCGGGAATAAAGTCCAGAAAGAGCTCTTATTCCCGGTCGATGTAAATTTTAACAAATTTGTCCCCAAAACGAGAGGTGTAAGCTTAAAAAGTGAACAATTTTTCAGATGTGCAACAAAACGAAGTTTGGTCAATTTCTCACGTGATGACGGATTTGATTGGTGGAAAGAGCAATGACGTAGGGCTACCATCAATTCGGTCCATTTGATCAGAAATCACCGCCAAATGTAAACAGTCCTACACAAAGATTTTTGTTTATTTATCTTTGCAGTGTACATTTACTTCATTATTCAAGCTACTTGCAAGGCGGGTCGCCACTTTGTTCATTTCGATATTTTGGAAGCAATCGAGAGATTGAACTGCAAGGGGATACTTGCACAAAACGTTTCCGCCCGTTTCGTACCTCTACAAGTAACTCATGCTGCAGCAAGTCTTATACCACCACATCTCACCACTTTGAACCGAAGTACATGTTTAATTCTGATACTGACACCTCGGAGAGTACCCCGCCACAATAATTGCATGTAGCTTACATAGAAACAAATCCACGACTTCCAAGTTTCCACGGAAACTGATCAAACCAGACGTCTGTCACCTGTCCAATCCGAAGTCATCCTACGCACTTGAAACTTCCATGAAACCTTCCGTCGCACCCTCACCGCCGATGGCAACGGCAAAAAGAGTAGCCCCTTCTGTCTTACTCAGGTTTTTCCAAGCATGCCATCCCGCCCGTTGAATAACCACATCTCCCTTTTTGAAAATCTTCTTCTCTCCACTATTCACCGCGTACTCCACTTCTCCCTCCGCTACATGTACATAGTCAAGCGTACGCGTACGATGCATGAACCCCTCGGCTCCATCAGGATTAGGGTCGAGGTGCAAAAATGCGGCTGCGCTGCCACCAGCTGAGGGAAAGAAGGGTATTTTCTCTTCCTTGATGATTTCCTGGTGTGCTTTGAGGTCGGTGTCATCGGTAAGTGAGGGTGTAGAGGCTGCAGAGTAGGCGTATCTCAATGTCGTGCCGGGATGCTTCGAAATTGTTACAAATGAGGTGGAATCAACAAAGGTGGTAGTTTTCCCATCAGGAGAATTGGTGGTAATGTAACATTTGTTATCAAAATTTGGGGTGGAAGAAGACATATTGAGCCGATCTTCCTAGAGCTGTTTGAATTTGAGATATCCAGAAAAAAACTGAGATTTAATGGGATGTTATTTCGATGTCGTGGGCTTATGAGTAGACAGGTGGGAGCCGGTGGTTATATATGTACAACAATCAATGACCTGATGTAAGATCTTACTATGGTTGACCTAGTCGATAAATTTGTGAACCTCTCAACGTAATGATTGGTGGATTTTAATGCTAAACCCGAAGATATATTGCCATTAACACTGTTGAAGGCTGAGAGGTTTGTACTTTCAGTATTGATTGGATTGCCCGGTAATGTGTCCATTTTGCTTCGTGTTCCGGTTGTGGGGTCGTTGTCAGTCAGAAGCATACATATGCATTACTTTGGCCAATCAACGAAGCTTTGGAGGGGTTTCGATATCCACAGCCAAAGGCATGGGGAATCAAGGAGATCAGTCTCTCGTGATTGTATGACAGCGTCTCTTAGAAAAGAAATGCCTAGTAGGTTTCTAGAAAGAGCAAACAAACATGCCATCTGACACACGAAAAAATCCGTCAAGAGAGCTATGACAGCTTATCCGAGCCACTCAGTGTTAATTCATGACTGGTAATGAACGATCTCACTGAAAATCGACCAGTGCGGGGTAAACAATCACCACTCTTGCACTCTCATTGTTGAATCAATTCAGTGACAACCACGAATTCTTCAATCGCCCGAACGACACGGAAATCCTGAAAGAAGTAAAAACCCTCAATACTATTGGCAAAACGGTATGTACCAATAGAAGTTGTAGGCTTCGCAGGATTTCGAACAGGCAACTAACTTGTGCCTCTTTCTGATGAACCTTTGTGTACACACTCACTAGTGTATAAATTGAAGAGGTGGGCATGGGCTGTGCCCATAGCAATGTGTGAAAGAAGGCAGGGGAGTCATAAGCTCAGTTGGTTGTCGAATCAATATTAATAGCAATCCTCGGGTGCACCTTTCAAGGTTGTATGCTAGCTTGAATGAATGAAGATATGGATGGAGTTGAGAGTGATACCGGGTGGGTGATATGCGTGTCTTGCTTAATCAGCATTGAATCGTGACACCACTACGAAAGCATTTGTCAGACCTTGCCCAGGTGCAAAGATTCTCTATATTTTCATCTCGATTTTCAAATCTTCACGATTGATGAGAGCTAAGGTATGACTTTAAGAGGTACGCTATGCAGTCCATAGTCAGATGTGCCAGGCATAATAACAAGTCAATGAGAGAGTGGTGGAATAGCTGCCCTTGCCATCTAATTTCATTCTATCAGCGCAATGGCATATGTTTCAAAAGGTGGCAGCTCCTACATCCGATGACTGCTTCGATTGATCGGTGATAGCTGAAATATGATATATGCGTCTAATGCCTCCATAGATACCACCGCAGCGATGCTCTGACAAAGTTGTCTGTGGCACGGCTTCCGGCTAATGGATCCGTCTTTGAAGCCATCAAAAGGGTTAGAACTTGTTAATCTCTGACAGGGAGGATTATACATAAATTTTATCTCATATGTCAACTAGTATTTTGATTTGGAACTGCTACATTGGCTCTTCCGGGATCATACCTCCGATCAACATGGTCGACTTCTATTACTTTTTTGGAAAATCTTGTTGGAGTCTGCTTGTTGGAGACTTATCCACCTATTGGTCTTGTTTCCATTAAACATTGGCTGAACCTTCGAAACGAGTTTATCTATTATTATATTTTGAGTGGGCGCAGGTACTGGTAAGATTACATTTTGATATGATCATCATATTGGCGCTGCATGTTTCTTCTGCAATTTGACCCGGCTTGTTGTCCATTTCTATCAAAATCCGAAGAAGAATTTCAACAGATTCTGGGCTGCCGTCGTTTGACGGAGATCATAAAAGTCAGTTGAAGTTGAACAAGTCCATAGTAGCGATTTGAATTAGATGATGCGGAACAGTGAAGGCCACGCCATTGGGACACAGAAATTAGTAGTAGCTTGGTTCACTCTTGCGAAAATCTCAAACATTCTATGATTCTAGAGAACGGTTCTAGATAATAGTGATTACGCTGTACAGAATCTGTAAAGTCATCACAGTATGCTTCGTGGAGTTACCATGTGGAAGGAATTGAGATCTAGTTTAACATGTAGAAGGGCTTGCAAATTTCCAATTGTACAGTTTAATGTGCTCCCACAACTTGAGAAAAGCTCATCACCACGAATTAGAGTTTTGACAAGACAGATTATGTTACAGATCATTCTCTATTCCATCGTCTTTATTATCTTATTATCCAAAACTTCTCATGACGTCATTTAATCTTCCCATGAAAGCTTCCAATGGGTACAGTTCGCGCGGCATAGTATCTGCTCACTTTCTTCCTACATGTGTTTCTCCTTCATGCCTTAACTATTGAGATTTCCTTTTCCTTTCTAATTTAATTATCACTTGTGCGATCCCAAAGCTCACAATGGCAGCTGTAGGATTTCTCTTTAGCTCTAAGACTACCACCCTCCCTTTCGGCACAAGTTACGCCTACGTTTCCATTCCTCAAGCTGTTTCTCTCAAATTCACCATTCTTTCTCTCCATGGTTTTCCGTCTACGTCCTATGATTGGCTTTATCAAATCCCCTAGTTCGCTTCTAAAGGTCATGGTATCATTGCAACCGACCTACTAAACTATGGCGGTACTGATAAACCCGACACGCTAGAGCCTTGTATCTTCAAGACAATAACTGCAGATATTGCTGAACTACTCAATCATAAGAACATTGAGAAAGTCGATGCGGTAGGCCATGATTTTGGCAGCCTTTCTTATCGCAAGTGATCAATTATCATCCTACCAGATTTCTTTCAAGTACCTTTCTGGCAGCTCAATATGCACCGCCAGGAATGCCATTGGATCTGGACCTGGTAAGACAAGTAGCAGAGCAAGAATTAGGTTTCGAAAGGTTTGGATGTATGCGATTTTTCTTTGAAGAGGATTCTTGGAAAACGATGGATGAACATGTATGTGCAGTGCAATCTTTACTTTTGTCCTGAGTTCACGGTCTTGGGAGTTCACAATTACGGACGCTGATAAAACCAAGTCCGAAAGCTTCGTCTCCCTGATGTATAGCTCCGAGGAAGAAACTGCCAAGAGATTTTACCCCCTTGGTGCCCTCCTTGCCTCTTTGAAAGAGAACCACAAAGCTCTGTCCCCAAATTGGCAAACGCCCCTCTATGTCTCCACTCGTTCTCAGATATTCTCAGGTTCTAGCTTCCGTGGCCCGAAAAATTGGTACTGTTGTCGTTATGGACATGGTCTAGGTATCCAGGAGAAAAAAAGAGGATAAACTTGACTCCCAATTTACTTACCGTGCACTTTTCATTGGGCAGATTCATAAGAGCATTGTGAGGATGGAGAGTGTATCGAAGCTATGGAGTTTTTTACGAAAGATTTGATTACAAAGGAGGTGGATACTTCGGGACGTTGGGTCCAGTTTGAAGCGAAGGATCAGGTTAATGGGGTTTTGGAAGAGTTTTTTGAGGGGAGATTGATATGAGGAGGTGGCTGGAGATGATTGAAATATATACCGTTGTGGAGTGAGAATTGAAATCGAGTCTGAGAATGATTGTATCAAAAATCGAAAATCGAGATTTGTTTTATTTTTGTGTTTTGTGTTTTATGTGTTCTGTTGATTGTTTCTATTCTATGCCTATTTCTCCACCTTTTAACAAATGAAATTCATGATGATGCATGTTATAAATGATTGTTGTGAGGCTCCCTTTCCAATTCCCCCTCTTCCTTCATCCAGTATCTGTAATACCCAAACTCCAAAATAAATTCACCAATCCATGTCCAAATAACAAACCCAACTCTCTCCTCAAGTTTACCCCTTTCACTCCCTAGACCTCCATCATACCATCCCGACTCAATCTCTTTCCCTGCCAAACCTTCATTCCCGCAAAGTAAGGACGGGAAGTATCAGCTCCGTCACTGGCGTAGAAGGTTTCGAATGCAGCGATCTCACTGGGATGAATATAGTGAAAGAGCAACATCATGTTAAGCATCAATGCTCCGTCGAAGATAATCAGGAATACCTCGTTACTTCGAATGAGTCCAGTGGTACCAGTCAAGTTCTCCACCAAGCGGATCAAAGATCTAATGGCAATAAGAGCAGAAGCGATGTACATAGCCACGAGATGCCTCTTGTATGGGATACCATTACGAGGGGACTTTGGTTCCACGGTTGCAGAAAGGCGCTCTGTGGGGTTTTGCGAAATGTTGTATTGGAATTTCGCAGCTGTGAAGACGAAGATGGCAAGGAAGACTAATTGTTCGCCCAACCCCATCATGACAAGTCTGTTACCGAGTCTGATCCAACTGGCGGGCAAATTAGTCATGAGACGAAAGATGGAACCGACGATGAGGATGATAACGGAGAAGCAATCGAAGAAGAGGAAGATCTTTTGGAATCTGCTTAGGCGGATTGGAGATTGTGATTCGCCGCCGACGGCCTTGACGAGATGCTCATAGTACATGTAGACTGCTGCGGCCATGATGGTTGGAGATACGAGAATACAGGTGTATTGAATGCCGAAAGGAATAACTGAGAAAGTTGGTGATTCGAAATGTGAAATTAAGCGGCATGCATAACCGATTGCTTCGACTATTGATCAATGTTAGTACAGTAGCTTCACTCTGGGGTATTTGGTGACTCACGTAAACCTCCAACTGCAATGGGGATGAAGAACTTGGTCTTTGATCGCGAAATTTGATATGTGTGTAGAAGTGTTGACTGGACGAAAATTGCTGCGAACATCGCTGCAACTGCCATGCTTGGTACATAGCAGTAGTATGCACATGATTCCAGGGTCGTTGTAGCCACCATGATTGCGGTTATTATTGTGATTGAAGTATGAATCTGGGGAAGTGGAGAAAGATTTGAAAGTTACAATGAGGAATTAGATATCAGATGGATAGTATAGTATGATAAGATGTGTTGTGAAGATGTATTTCCTCGAGAGAAGACCCCTCATCTATATAGCTACACATAGAATCCATCATGATAGCAGTCGCACATTATGTTGGCATTTCGAAAAGACCGTCTTATGTTGAAACACAATAACATTTCCTGGCGTCCCATATCTAGAATCAAAATAGCACATCTTGGCACAGCAAAGGAAAGTTTAAGGATATCTTGAACCAATCAAATCGCCTCGCATAACGCATAGCGGAGTGTAACAGGGGATTTTAGAGTCGTGCTTAGCTTAAACAGCCCAAAGTGGGGTCTTCCAGAACCCCGAATACGCAAATGCGAAAGTTTAAATTCAATTAGCGTGTACCGCAGCGATCCTCTAAAGATTTTCTCAAGTTTCATAGGGCTTAATGGAATTCGATCGACAGCTGTCAATTTGAAACTCCGATCTATAACCTCCGACTTTCATCTTATCATAGATATATTCCCGTCGATGATCAAGTGGCTTGGTGATATTGATAAAATGATGGGAAATAAATTTTGCAAACCTGGCAATATGTGGACAGGACGGTAAAAAAGGAGTAGGTACACGGAACTTGCCAGACTTCTGGTGCAGAGTTTCGTCAAGCATTGGTTACAAGGAGATGAGCCTGTAGTACAGAATAAATGGACAATCCTCAACGCTCCCCGATATATGGCTAGTGGATCTACCCCGTAGTCTGCCTTCAAATTTGCTTGTTAGAATCCAAGACTTTTCGCCAAAAACAGAGACCCAGTCCTAAGTCCCCACGACGATCTAAGCTGAGGGCACCCGATGAGCTTATCTTTGCTGCGCTCCCTTTTCGTGGGCTTCTATTCTTCCGTGCCATGGCAGCAAGGACTCATCAAACAAATAATTGATCCACTGCTTGTTATCAATACTTTTGTACATCTATATACGAGAACTACGGGTGGCTTATTTTGTGGGGTCTACTTAATCTCGACGTCTCAAATGTTCGAATTCAAGACGGCCATTTGGAACTTCTTCTTTGTCCTCTCAACCTGGGACAACCCTACAGATTTGCATGCAATTCATCGGATCGAGAATCAACCCTTCGTGAAGCAGCAGGCGCTCCTATCACATTGAAGTTAATTGCAATTCCGTACGAAGCGAATGGTTATGGTTGATCTCAAAGTGCCCTGTTGATCTGTCGCTCGATATCTGGGGTGGGATAGAGGCCTCTACCAGACAGTCTTCATGAAATGTTGCAATGGACAATGCATCTTCGTCAACACCTTGATTGAGAGTTAGTTGTTTCGTCCAAGTTATGTTGACCGCCAGTCAAAGCCAAGAGTTTGATGGTCAGTCAAGGCTGCATCATACAGTATTCATGAACCACATACTCATATGTTCTAATTGGCCCATTCGGTATCTCAATTTGTCATAAAGTTTCAGGATTACAGGTGCGCCATTCTCATTCCAACTACAGAGCTAACAACTGATATTTTGGAAGCTGCTTAGAAAATTTGCCCCTCAAGCAAAGCGGATCATCGCTACCTCTTCCTTCGCCTCGATTGTAGATCTGAGCCAGGGGTTTAGATCTACTCATATATAAAGCGAGAAGGATTGGAATTTCACTACTTAATACGTTGCAGCAAACCCCCGAACACCAATCGAATTGTGTATCGAAAGCTTTTGCTAAAAATGGTAGCATGAGATGGGATGTGCGGAAGAAAACAAGCCCAGCTTCAGTCTGTCTACTATCTGGCCCCTTATTTTACACAATCCAATTTGCAGATTGTCACATCGCTTGACAATCGTAAGGTTTCTTCGGCGTATATTCATCGCTTCTTCAAAGGGTTGGAGTGTGTTGTCCAAGATGCCAATTTCTTTGACTGCACTTATATCCTTCACGATCGAACTTTTCTAGATCATATTCCACATGGCGTATGCTTCAAGATGGTAGGATCCAATGCTGTTGTCTTAATTTCAGTCCATAATGCGCTAGCTATGTTCATACTAGCTAGTTCCCTTGAGCTAAACATTTGTTTCTGTTTGCAAAGTGCGCAACACTAGCAACGGCAGATTTCCGCCATGGTTGCTAAGAATTCATGAAAACAAACTTGATAGGTTGACCTGACCGTCCTATTGGTCGAGCTTCATAACAGGAAATTTTACCTCACTTCTACTCTCCTTCGCCAACATCTGATCGACCTGCCAGGGTGTCTGTGGCTTTCCTTCTTCAAATACTCCACCAATTGGCCTATAATTGATATAAAAATGAAACGATCCCAATTCATGCATCAGCCTATTCCATTCTCCACTTGCGTTCTTCTTTTTCAGGTTGATTGACAATTTCATGAGAGTTCTGAATCCATGTTTTTCATAGAGACTGCGGCCGTTGTCTGATGCCTGAAATTCGCAGAGGACTTAGTATGTTCTGGGGAGCTTTCTAAGACATAACGGGAAGCAAGAGAGAATAAAAAACGTCCTTACCTCGATGAATCCTTCCAATCCTAACTTATCTGCCATGTTGGTGCCCCAGTCCATGAGAAGTGTGCCGATACCTTTTCCTCTGTACTTTGGATGTACTGAAGTTTGATTCAGAGCTACACAAGAATGGTTGGATTCGACGTTTCCAAGAAGGCGACGCAGAATAGAGAGCAAAATTATGGAGAGATCGGCTTACCTATATGAGGTCTATTCATCCATTGTTGCCGAGGTGTATAACACTGTCTCACAAACTCGGTTGCGAAATTCCTACCTTCTCCTTCCGGCCACCAAGTTGCAACTATATTGGGGAGCTCGTTGGGCCATGACGTCTCTGTAAATATGAGCCACTAAATTTATCTAACATCAGCATAATAAGGGTATCAATGGATAGGAGGAAAATTACCTGACAAGCACCGATGACTGCACCATTACTCTGGTCGACTACATAAATCCAATGGCTAACACCCTCCTTGTATGCCAAATGAGTATTCCATGCTCTCTCCTTGTCGGCCAAGACAGCCGCATCGTGATCTTGAGCTGTGGGACCATGTACTGGATGGAAAAGTTGGAAAGACGATATGTAGGGTTCGCGCCAGGCAACCCAAGCTAAATCGACAATTGCGTCTGATTCGGCGCGAGTCGTGACTTCGTGCAGTGTGTATGTTGGGGACATCTTGTATATATATATATATATATGGGATTTTAAAAAGAGATTCTGTTTTAGAAAAATGAGGAAAGGTCTTGCTCTGTCCTTGGGAAACATGATTTCTGGGGGTACATATATGGCAGTGATATGACTTTTGTCTTATGAGGCACCAACAAGATAAAAGACCACTCTGATCAATCAAAATCAGCAACCGAATCAATATTCGAACAGTGTTATCTTGTTGGGCCTATTTAGAGGTTAGTCTTGGTGCGGGGAAGACTATTTCCGGCTTACGATTATGCATGCATGTTGGTGGCCCGGTACGTAGCCTAGTACGTAGTCCATATCACGATATGGCCCTCGAACTTCCACTCAAATCATGAGCAAGTTACTAACCATCGGGAGTGTTCTACGAAATTCATAGGCTAACCATCGTTCAGAGTCTTGTGTCTCTGCATCCTAGCAAAGGCAGTATTAGACAATGCTTCAGAAAGTTCAATTGAGTTCTACTCATGAGAGCTTAGTCCTTCCGAAGACCTATCTTCATAATTGTGATTCTCATAGTTCTTATTAAGACTAAGAACAACTCTCACTCAGCGGATTTGATCAAGAATGCCGAAAAATATTACCAAAAACACTATGCTATCGCGCTTCAATTGATAGACCGCCGGAGAAGGAGAAGTACAGTCGCGCATCAAGATAGTAGAAAACACCATTTAGAGAATAATTACATACATGGCCGGTGCGATGCCAAGATCCTCTACCGCGAAAGGAAAGAGGGGCACCGCCATAAGGCTACGGTCGCAGGTCTAAAATTCACGACACAGCGAGCCTTCGACGAGACCACAACTCTAACAATAATATCGCATCAAGCGGTGTTAGCTCATGTTATGTGTATTAAATCGAAGCACATTCTAAGGGCATTAAAGCAGTGGGGTTATCCCAATTCCAGCAAACACGGTAACCCCAACTCTTAAGCAGATCGCTGCTGACCGTTTGACTTGACCATCCAATCCAGATCGGATTTTCTTTCTGGCTCGGCAAAACGGCATCAAACATTTCTCCATATTGCTATATCTCCTTGTGTCAAGAATAGACTAGCGCCGAATTTCTCTTCACTGCGCAAACACAAGGGCGAAAGCTCTTTACGGGGAGAGAAGTCAGACGTTGACTTACGAACTTACCGAGTATCTGGCTGAATTGATTGAAACGACGAGTAAACATTCAGACCCCGCATTCTCTTGAATCATGGCTCTTCGCTGTCGTAATTCTAGTCGTTGTAGCTCCATTGATGAGATTGTCGCCGCACTCACCGCTATACCCCGCCAGAAAGGTAATCCTTAGATCGGACGGCGTGGATTTTCAAAACAAAAGATGAACCCCACAAAGGCATATCATTCTAGCATCATGTTTCAAGACGAACGAATCAACTAGAGTGATTCCGTTTTCGCCGCATGATTCTGGGGCGTATCGCGTTTCAGACACAGCCGCACTCGACAAAACACAGAATGGCTACTCACACACCCCAGTATCACAGCTTATCATTGCCGATCTTGATATCATACAAGCATATAATTATGCAGGGAGAGTTCTTCAAGAGGGCGCATTGTTTCGAAACTACACAGCTATCAGCCCTCTCGCTTTGCCCTACGAGCTGCATGGAACTTAGTTCAAAGTACATACATAGACGGTGGCGATTAATTACAAGTTTAGGCTCAAAATCGATGCGGGTCATCCAGCATCTCATTGTTTACTTATATAGGGCCAGCATAATATTTTTATATGGCTATCCCTCACTACAGAATACACGACTCAGATTCTGAACACGCTAGCCGCTATAAATATGTTACCATTGATGGGTAACCAGGAGAATACGTTGAACAATTGGGCTTCAAATAACCTGGGCAGGCCTCGGGATAGCTCCATGGTCTTTTTAATGAGGGAGACAGGTCTACAGCAAGAACAAATAGATCACTGGTGGACCAGTCAAGAGAATACTCGTAAGCAAAATATCTTTTCATCTGGCACGGAAGAAGTTTCTCATAGTTGATTTTAGGTCCCAATGTAACAATTACGTCTGGAGAAGTAGGGCTGTTTTCTGAGATTGACGCGTGTGGTTCTGAAAGCCGCAATTCCAAACGTGCACACCTCGACTTTTCAGACTCGACACCCATTTTATTGGGCAACAACACACAAGACTTCGATGCAGCGTTTTCCGGTCTTGATGATTGGTCTCCTCTCGAACAATCATGTTATGATTTGCATGGACCATCCTCCACGGATCTGATGAATTTTCAACCCCACGGAAATTGGTGCGATCAGTCGACGGAGCATGGTCTCCTTCACTCAGATACTATGACATCCTCCGATACCGATTCAGTATCGTCGATATCATCAGGTTATGAGAGTAAGCGCACTTCAAACAGATCATCCGGACGTACTTGGGGCACTACATCAACGCTTTTCTCCGTAGACGAAGCCCAGGAGACAGGCCCAACTAACTCACCTCAGAGTTTCCCGTATCATCAGACCACACAGCCAGCAAATTTGGCTTCGGTTACAGATTTTCAACACAAATTAGCTGGTGATCTCGATACAAGCGAGTTCACTACTCGACACTACAGCTTAGAATCTAGCCCTCAACCACCTACAAGCTTGAGACGCAAATCAAACACCAATCTCAATTCTAAGAAACTACCAAATGTACCTCAGAAGCTTTTGAGATATAGCTGTACTATCTGCCGGCAACCATTTGAACGTAAAGGTGCTAAGGGCGACTGGAAAAGGCACGAACAAACAAAGTGCGAGCAACAGAAACTGTGGTACTGTATGTCTGAAGAGCCCACTTTTCAAGCACATAATATTTGGTATTGCATGTTATGCAATCATGCTGATGGAAATCGCAATGAGATGATTGGCCATCTAATTAAGGAACACCGATTTCAAAATTGCTGGAGTAAACCTTTGTCTAAAAGGAGCCATCCCAGGAAGGACAAGTTAAGGGATCATTTGAAGAAACATCATGCTTTATCGGAAGGATCCAATGGTTGGGAAGCATGGCATCAAGATTTGCCCGAAAAAAAGGCTTGGGGCTGCGGCTTCTGTGGTGGTTGCTTTTTCACTTGGGATGGTAAGTCACATGTTCATCTCCATCAGCAATAGTGTTTTTCTTTCAATTCTTTTTTTAATTCGTGTGGAATTAACATGGTCGATGATACGGATTTCAAATAATTTGGGCTCATGAAAACCGATTTTTACTAACCTCAAACAGCAAGACTTGACCATATTGCCGAGCACTACGAAAAGCAAGGTCTTGATGTATCAGAATGGTCATTGACGAATGTAATCAAAGGCTTGCTCAAACAACCTAGAGAATGGGATGTATTGACTGCTTGGAACACAATCGTTGGTCACAATGAAAATTCCTGTACATGGTCAGATAATAACGCTCTGATGTTGCAGCGCAAGCTAGAGTATCGCGACGGCACACCACAGAGTCTGGCCGAAGAGGCGAGAAGATTGGCTGAAATATCTCCTCACAACTCCGTGCCGCAGACTTGGCCCCTCTATGAATCTCGTGCAGTAAGACTAACACGAGATTTGTTGACTGGGCCTCCGAGAAAAAATCCTTTAAACAGGCACGGCGGCGTCTTCTATGGGGAACCTTCTTGGGCACATGTTAAGCACGCAGATTTCGGAATGCAAGGTGATAATTATGGTGGATATATTTAATGGTCGAGCAATCTAAATGAATTTGAATGATAGAGACGTATGCAGAAGCAATGGTATGTGGGAGCTGGCTATCCACATCCTAAAGTTTTTTGATTCATCAGTTGATGTTCCTATGGGAACTCTAGCGTCTTTCAGGAATTCACACCTGATAATGAGCGTAGCCTGGTGCTGAGCGCTATAGATGAATTCATCATTTGCTCAGATATTCAAGTAACCTAGACGGTGAAAGAATGGAACCAACCGAGAGAGGTTTCGGGCTGGAAAAGACAATAATATCGATGTGGTAATTGAAAGTCTCCCGAGTTCAGGTTTCCGGCGGGGCCGGTGGTGGTTAATATAAATTTAAAGTTCATACATCAAAGCAGACTTCAGGAAAGTTCTTGATCATAACAATAATATACTTTCTTTCATCGCTCCACACAAGATGCAGAAATCGAATTATTTCAGTGAGTTCTTTCAATGAATGCTTTAATCAGACAGATAGAATGAGAGAAGTGATGTGAGACTGTTGAAAATTGGAGAAATTCAGTATCAACAGCTCTGTCACATACAATTTTTATTGTCAAAATCTTGCAACACACGTCAATGATGCATTCTCCCAGGAACGTCTCTCGATTTGTGATAGCCATCTGAGTAGAGCTCTACTTTTCTTCCTATCCAGGATTGAGACAGCTCTGATATTGATTCCTACCAACTTCAGTCCAGAATTGGAAGCGAGTGGTGAACGTTACTATCACAATATGTGAGAGAGCATCACAAACAATCTGCTAATGCTTGATAAAATCTGGAAAAAATACCAGAACATCTCCAGAATAAGTTAAAGAGATGACTGGGATAACTGCTTTGCACTATAAACCTCTATGTTCAGCCGTCAAAGGTCGGAACCTCCTGGATAAAAATCTCGCCTGGAGAATCAACAATTGTGAAATTGGGCATGACGTAATGAGCGGATGAAGATAATCGCTTTCTAAGCCATTCCGCATGATTTGTGCTTTCACTGAGTACGTACTAATCAAGTCAAACTTCGGTACTTGAGTACACAACACGGAAAAATCTGACCATTATTTCACCTTAGGGGGGTGGCATAATTTATTTATCTATATTCTGTTATGAGTGTTTTGAGTGCTATCGCAGATCCTACTGTATGTTTTTGAATAGAGAAGATGAGGGAACTAGACTGCGCGGGATACTGGTTCGTTCAGAACATGGGCTTATCGAGTTTGGAGAATTTGTGAGAAGGCTGGTCTGTTTATCAAGATACTGAAGGTTGATTTAGTGAACTCATGATTGAGACGAAGTTTCGAAGAATAGCTGGATCAGTATCTGAGTCTATGATTGAAAATATAATGATAGGGTCTTGGTGTGTGAAAATCAAACTCCCCTTACTGTTTCGGATAATGGGGATGCTTATTACCTGGAATACTATACGCAGTATCCGAAACCATGGGTGATTGAATAACGCGGCTAGTTGTTGAAGTTTTAAAATGGTAGATGTACTGGATGTCCGAAGTTATGGACTAGCAAACTAGATGCCAGGCGCGAAAATTCGAAAAGCATGCCATGAACATAGTCTAGCAATTTGAATGATTGAATCTCAGAGTTGAAAACTTCGTGGTACTGCAATTCGGACTGCTGTAAGCCTTGCACATGAAAGAAATGAACATTTGAAATAGGAAATTTTGAAAAGGATGCATGCTGTCTCCAGGGTGTTTGATGAGAAGGAGAATTTTATGGATTTGGAAATATGTATCGGTCTTGTGAAGCATCAACAAGAGGACGCTTTGCAGTTCCTAGCTGCTTCTTAAACTTCAAGGCTCAATTTTGTTTGATACGTAACTTTAATATAGTGTCTCTGAAGTCTCAGTCTATTTTTCACGCGCTAGAAGCTGAATTTCTCACATGTAAGCAGATATTCTATTATCACGACCTCAAAAGTCTAATTTTCTGTAAAGCATCTGTATTTTGTGAAATCTATCGCAGTACCACTTATCCGCCCCAGTATTGAAAATCGGTCATCCTAAAGCGGACTGACATAGAAGCTTCGATGATAAGTAGGTTTTTTCTTTTTTGAAGAGTAATAAAGGAAAGCAGAACGAATAGTCGCAATAGTAAGAAGACAGCGTTTCTGAATGATCCAGACCTTGCCAATTGAATCTCCAGCAGTTTCAACGTTCGAATTTCATGGTCGACTTGCACATCTCCTTTCCGCCAACAAGACATTTGAACGTGAGGTTATCGCCCTTATTGCCAAATACGATTTGCTGTTGAAGCGCAATTTGCTGCACCTGGCGGCCGAGCTGAGCATTAAAATGCGTTTTCAGATTTTTACCGAAATCGAAGCTACTATCTAGAGTTGACTGAATTTCTCCAACTGTCTCGACTCCTATACCGCATTAGCGTAATCAGTCTTGATTTTAGATTGATGATCAACAAACCAGGGTCAGAAAGATACTCGGGAGGTTCTGCTGAAACGCAAGCGTAAAGTGTACTTCCGAGTATTGTTGTCTCATGTGTATATTCCATGACACAATCAACAAATCTACAAGTATCCTTTGTTATTTTGTCCCCCTACCACGTTTCGTTGGTTAGTATAAAAGGTAGGTTAAAGCAAAAGGCCTTCTATGGTGTTGCTATGAAATTATATTGATCATTAGGGGGTTTGGCCTGATGGCAGCCTAGTGTGCGGGTTTCATAGAAATAGATTGAGCTTGTTGAGTGACTTGCCTTGAGAATCAACCATTCCATTCGTCCACGACATCTTTTCGTATCTCCCCATGAGTCAATGTAAGAATCCTCCTCTGGGTCTATACCTTCGCGGAAAGTCTTGTCCAAACAAACACCATAATGACGACGGGCTTGCTTAACCCGAGGCGCGATTCCTTCTAACCCGCGTAAGGCAGCGCCACGTACAACAGCAGACTGTCTGAAGAAAGTTAGCATAGCAACAGATCAGCACTACGTGTAGATCTTGGCTCACGGGTGTAAAGGACACATCAAATTTATGTTTCCGTTTCGCTTGCACCATGCCTTCAACTTCTTGTTTAGGTATGGTGATTCCCCAAACCCCCCAACGAGAATAATGCGCTAAGACAATGTGAGTGATTTTTGCAACCTCAAATTCATTCATTGTGACATGGAAACATACATTAATTTTCGCATCTTGAGTGTCCTTTGCTGCGTTCACTTGCTGTTTTACCAGCCTTGTAATTTCTGTAATGACGGGATCGAAAAGAGCTTGCATATCCCGACTGATTTAAGATTAGTATGTTTTGTTTCCAGTGGACAGAAGAGTCTTACTGTGAGAGTAATACAACCCGGTCCTCTTCATCAAAATATGCAGAGTCTACAACATCAAGATTGAGAGGGCCCAGCTCTCCAATTTCTCTGTCATCGTTACGCCCAAAGTCTCGTTTCAATGCTTCGAATGCGGCCATAAATCTGCTACCTGGTCCCTTTTGACCAAATGGTAGATCATCAAACGCCGCGCCGAAGCGTTGAGAGAGCATTATTTGAAGATTCCGATCAATGTGTGTTGATCCACACTTTCCACCTATTCAGTAGGTTAAATCGATTCTCGATGGACTGGTTGTGTAAATGCAAGTAAGACTTACCAATTCCAACACATAGTTCGTCAAATGACAGGTATGGCTGCACCTGGATGATTTTGTACGTTGTGATGTCGACAGTGCCGCCTCCACAGTCGCAGATTAGAATATTCTCATCGGGCTAGGTTTGTTAGTCTCTATCATCAAAAGTGGTATGCTAAAACATACTGTGATCTGATTCATTACGTCCGATCTTGAAAATTCCTTCAAAGTTGCGATGGCTGCAGCTTCAGGCTCGGCAATTGTGTAAATCTCGTCTCCTGGTCTGTTCCCAAACCCGGCATTCTTGGCAGCGTTTAGGGTAGCATCTTTCGCTTCTTCTGACCACACTGCAGGTAATGTTACCCAACATTCCATTGGAGTGTTTTCAAAAGTCAGATCAGTCATTTGTTGCCGCAATTTCTTTGATACATGTGTATATACCTCGCGCAAAAAATCCTCGCAGACACCTGCGGCATCACGGAATGGAGGTAATGGGAGCATACCAGAACCCTCCATACCTGTGAGCGATGGGTCATCATGCTCCTTCGCAGCAGCATTCTTGTCAAGCAGAAGTTTAGTCCAGGAGTATGATATCATCTTTGGGTTGACCTCGAATCCCCACTTGTTGTTCTTAAGTTTCGGATTCTCTTGGCTGTAAGCAATTCTTGTCGGAGTTTTCCAAGACACATGGGGATCTCCAGGCCATGGAGACATAATAGTGATATCCTCGATGCCAGCCCTGTCTGAAGTAACGTAACTGACGCCTATAGTTATGTTAAAGATGAATACCTTAAGGTTGGTTCAATTTAAATACCTGAGAATGTTGTACCATAATCAATTCCGATAATGATCTTATGGTTGTTTGCTCTAGCGGCAGAGGGATTCAGAGAATGTCCTAGAGACCTGAGATCCATTGGATTGGCCATGATGGTGGTACTAGTAAACCAGATCAAGAGAAAGATGCTGATAGGTTTTTGGAATTGGCAAGAGGTCGGAAATTCGAAACTTGAGAAGAACTCCAAAGTCGCGCGGTAACCCGGCAACCCACTCCCATTCACTTGTTTGGAGCTAGTGATAAGCACGTGCCAAGCTAGGTAGGCAGCTGATCGGAGCAGGTATACAAAAACTTCACCTTCGTCTTGCTACCTTCGTTGTCCCTTGCGGTATCAATTGTATCCCATTCAAGCCTACCAGGTATATTGGTAGAAGTCAAGATGACTGCCGCGAATCCAGAGAAAAGAGGCCACCTCGTGCAAGAAGACGAGAATTCACAACCAAGACATCAAGATGAGGTTTTGCCGAAAGAATCATTTTGTGCAACAAGCATGCATGAGTCCGACACCGATTCACGTTCAATGGCGCAAGAAGTTTCGACAAATGGTCAACGAATCCCTTCAAGTCATGACACCCACAAATACAAGGATGTAAAGCACACGGTACCTGATCGAGAGATCAAGCAGCAGGCGAAGAGAGATGAGCTGGATACCGATCAAGGTATATCATCATCATTCCATTGAGAATACGGCTGACTTTCTCACGTAGGTACAGAAGAATCAGGCTATGGGAAATCAATTCGTAACATTTGGGCTGGCTTCAGCAAAGGATATTTGCAGGTGCCGGACAGACAACAAATACATAGTCGGCGTAGCAGTTTCGGCAGCTTACAGTCATCTCTTCAGCAGCCACAAGTACATGACAAGACAGGAAAATATGTTCCAAGCGTGACAGAGCATGAGGAGATTCGCGGACTAGAGAGAGAAATCGACAGACTACTCAAAGACAATGACAGACATGATGTGGCGAGAGGCAAAATTGAAGGCGACTTGAGAGCTATGCAACGCCAGAACGACATATCGGAAAATTTAGTACGCAAATTGCAGGCTAAAAACCAAAAGCTTGAGTTCGAAAAGCAAGAAATAGAAGAAAAGCATAACACCTTCATTCGAAAGCAACAGGAAGCCTCATTCAACCAAATGACAAACTCACGCTGGATGCCTGTCGAGGATAGTAAAGTCATAGGAGATCTTGATAGACTTAAGAGAGACATGAGAAATTGGGCGAAAAAAGTGTCGGTCAATGATTTGCATGCTCTCCTAAGATCCCTTGGACAGTCCCAAAGTGAAGCGTTATGGGAGGCATTGGGGCATGTACTTGTGTTTGAGCATGGCCAACTCCCTCGAGGACTATCTCCAAGAAATTCTCCAGGGCTGCTTCTAACTGCTCTACTCTCTCACGATATCTATAAAACCATGTTTGTGAGCCCTTTTTTCTTCATCGGCAGAAACATTGTGGACGGGCAACTCAAGCTGTCAGAACATCGCATGGAGCTAGAACGTACCTACCGCTACGGCCGGCATTGTAAGTGAAAGGAGTGCTGGAACGAGAGAACAATTAGGCTGACAGTTCTATTAGCAAATGAAGAGGATGCTCATACTTGGCGATCCGAGTTTTTGAGGCTGCAGTTGCCCCCGATAACTCCCGAGACTTCAGACGCTGGAAAATTCCTACATTACACAACTATGGATCAGATAGTCAGGGTAGCAGACCAACAAGCTTTCAACTTTATGGAAGGTCCGGCTCGCTGGCTTATCAGTGATGAAGCACGAAACGAAAGTGCCGACAAGCTTCAAGCTATCTATAGAGAAGCAGCAAATATTTCGTACATGCTCTGGACAAGAAGAACGGCACTGGAAGTCTTTTTCTTAGAGGATATGAGAAATATGCATTTCCGGTTCGATAATAAGTACACGGTTCCACATTCTTCAGTAAAATACGAGGACCATGAGGATCAGCTTGAAGGCAGGGCTCTCAGTATAATTGTGCACCCATGCCTGGTTGTCTCCGGGACAGATGATGCTAAGAATTATGACCAGCGACGTGTATGGGCACCAGCGGAAGTATGGCTTGATAGCAGTGTCTCATCTAACGATTAGCTCCATTACAGGTTCCATTACACTCGGCGATACATAACCGCAGCTAGTTCTTGGTGTGGATGGTGGATGGAATAATGGTGGAGGTCGTAGGAGCCAAAGTTGAACCGTCGGCAGACGTCATCATTCTAGCTGATTCTCGGAAAGCGTTGATATTACAATTGCGATGGTTTATAACTGCTGATAAAACCAGCTCTGAGGTTTTATAGTGGATGACAGGCAGCATATTCATGAAGGCTGCGAGAAAACAAGCAGAACGGTAGACATCGAGATTCTAGCGGATATTCCAGAGAATGTTCCCAAAAGCGTTGATATTACAATTGCGATGGTCTATAGCATAAGCAAAATGCATGATATTCATAACAACCTGTTCGTTGAATGTTGCGTGTGAGATCCCGTGCAGAATGAATGAGGAGTGAGGTCAGAGAAAACAGATTTTAACCTTGCGGCGTTGAGACAAATCCGATCCGACATTTAGCCGATCAAGATCCGATCTTGCGTGTAAGGAGGTGGAGCTGCTCGGATGTAAGAGTTCTGGAACCTACTTACCGCACCCCTGTAATAAATGTAACAAAATCCCCGCAAAAATGAGGTTTTCCTATACAAATTATTATATTAGAAATTTCATTCAAATCTTTATATTTTCTTTTCAAAAAAATTGAAAATAATAAATAATTATAATCAAAATATAAAAAATTATTTGAAATATTTTTCATTATTTTTGTTAAATAGTTATATAATATTGAAATCGAATTTTTCTAAAAATTCTAATATATAACATTTTTCCTATACAAAATAAGCGAATTTTTATAAAAATTTCGAATTTTCAACTTTAATTCCTTCAAATTCTATTTAAAAAATTAGAAAAAAATATTCTATTTATTTTTTTATAAGATTTGATTAATTAAATAACATTTCCTAGAAGAATTTCTGATTTTATCTTTTATTATAATATATAAACTAGGATATAAAAAATTGAATAATCCCATATTTTAGCCGGAAAAGCGTTACATGTGCGGTAAGTAGGTTCCAGAACTCTTACTAATGGTCTGCATCTGCATCGTGTTTGCATCGAGAGATTTTTTACCACAAATACAAACATGGTTACAAATGTTCATGTCTTCGTTCTCTGTTCCGGCTAAAGCATAGTTGGGTTACATAATGTCTTCGAACTCCACTATCTCTAGGTATAGTGCTGAGCTTACCCGGCAGGAGCAACCCTTGTATCATTACTTGCTGAGTGAGACCAGCTGGCTCTAGTAACAGCGAAGACAAAGTGTTTCCCTGGACATAAATATCAACTCATGGTCTATACACACCAAGAACAAACTTTAAATATATACCGTGTCTTTTATCCCATCTACTGCTACAGTTCGCGCCCAATCTATCTGTCTATTAATCTCACACTGAAAAGTATTATGGCTTTCTATCTTCCACAGGACCAAGGTGTATTACCATACTTTCTACTCCTCGTGAGTTTTCTTTTCCGTTCTGATACCCTCAACTCTGCAATCCAAGAATTTCCAAAAGCGGGAGCAATAACTCTTCCATCCCATCCATTACCCCCAAACTAACACCCACAGAACGCCATCATGAGTTTCTACAACTCCGCCCAATGTTTTCTCTCCCTGCCCGGCACCCGAAAACTTTTTTTCGGCCCACATTCCACCATTCCCTCTTCCTCTTCCTCTTCCACATCCCCTAAAACCACCTCCCCATCTTCTCATGAAGCAACCGCCCTCTTTGCCCGCACCTTCGGCTGCTACACCCTTGTGAGCGGTATGCTCCGTTTGATAACAGCATATAATCTTTCCTCTCCTGAACTATATTTCCTTACTTTATGGGCTTATGTGGTGATAGCAGGCTTCTGGGGAATGGAATGGTTGTATTTCGGGACTGTGGCTTCTGGACCTGCGTTATGCGCGAGTATTGTTATAGATGGAGGGGGGGTTGTTATGATGTTGTGGGGATGGGGTAAGTATTAGGGGTTGAGATTTCGAGAGCAGAGAATGTGATGTGAAGGGGAGAAAGCTTGTTTTTACGACTTATGATTGTATGTGTTAATGTTTCAAGAAATGGAACGATCCACTGGTGCAAAAGTTGTACCATGTGCTTATAATCAGATGAGTCTACAGGTCTATATTTGGTACATTAATGTCATCTCCACTCTCAAAACTAATAATACATAGAATATGTTTTTGATCGCCTAATATTTACAGCGCTAGTATACACTGCATTTCAGTCCCCTAAGAAATTGTACAGATGATCTTCCCTTTACTGGTGTTTTTCTCCATCTCCTTGTGGGCCTCAACCACCTTCTCCCAAGGGAAAACCTTGTCCACAAAAATCTTGAATGTACCATCCTCAAATTTAGGAAGGTATTCTTCCAACTTATCTCTCAATTTGCCCTGATAATCCACATCTCTACTCCTCAACGTACTTCCTTCAAATCTAACTCTCTTGAATATGAACGCACCCATATCAACACCACTTGGTAATTTCGTACCACTCATTACTCCTAAAAGCACAACTCTCGCGTCTTTTGCTGCTACATCCAGATCTCCCTGGAAGTAGTTTGCTCCTACGAAATCAACAATAATATCAACACCCTTGCCATCTGTAGCAGCGGTAATTTCCTTGGCCCAATCTTGTGTTTTGTAGTTGAAGCCTGCTGTGGCTCCTAATGTGTTGACGCAGAAATCGATCTTTTCTTGTGATCCTGCTGTTACATAGATAGCTGATGCGCCGGAGTTCTTCGCGAGTTGAATACCGGCAATGGAGACGGATGATGCGCCTGCGTGCCAGAGAATGGATTTTCCTTGAGAAAATTCGCCCACGAGATACATAGCTTGAGTAGCTGTTATCCATGTCTATTTTGATTTTGTCAACTCAATCCGTAAATGATATCTAGAGGGGTGTATATATAACGGGTAATATCATACCTCAGGAATACCAGCTGCCTCTTCCCAACTCAAATGATCCGGTTTCTTTAAAAGCATATGCGTGCTCACAGCAAGGTATTCTGCATATGCACCTCCATACGCCAAACCAAAAACCTCATCTCCAACACTGAAACCTTCTTTGATATCTGTTCCTAAACTTTCAATCGTACCAGAAAATTCCACACCGAGAGTTTTGGGAGCTTGTGGTGGAACAGGATAAAGGCCTTCACGTTGGAGAAGATCCATGCGGTTAAGACCAAAAGCTTTGACTTTGACGATAGCTTCGCCCGATTGAGCGGTAGGCTTGGGAGTCGAATCATTTATGAAAAGGGCATCAGCATGGCCTTTGCCATCTTTGATATCTGAGGAGTTATGTTAGCTAATATTGCTCTCATTGTTGCGCAATTGCGAGTAGCTGGTGGAAACGCCAAGAATAAGAGCTTCAGTTTCCAGCGCATCGAATTAAAAAGTACATACCAACTGCTCGCATAGTTTCAGGCATTGTGCGATTCAAATAACAGGGGATATATTCTGAAATGAGAACAAAATTGTCTTGGAGGAAGATCAATGCCAAGGGGCATTTTGATGTTTATATTGTGATGCGGTGGGGCCGCCCAATGACGATAGCGGGGTAGCTAAAATTCCTGCTTACAAAACATGACGAAAAGTACCCGAAATTCAGTATTTGTACCGGTAATTATTGGTGCACAGTCTTTCGGGTATTTAAGTCCGATTTGAGTTCGCGAATCCCCTTTTCTTTCTTAGGTAGACAGAGACCGGGCTAGCAGGACAAGTTCTCTCTTTGTGTGTCAAACATAAGGATCATATATATGGTTGATTGATATCTAGCATCCAAGGGTAAAAGACGGCTCATAGATGCATCCCTGGGTGGTTTCGAGAATATGTCCTCGCGTAGTACATTCTTATATCAATACCTTCATAGTATTCGCACATCATATCCTCTACTACGAGCCTCGAGATCAGACATCCTTCAACACATCAAGTAGAGTATAGGTAGTTTCTGTTCTAATTTCCATTACACCCTAACAATTATAAAATCCCCTCAAACAACCCGGCCTCATCATTTGTTTGTGGTTGTAATGTACCGGCATGCATCTGGGGAAAATGGGTTGGATTAGGAGCTCCTCCGTATGATTGATGTTGAAATTGGGTGCTCACTATTGACTATGAGTACTGATCTTGAAAGTTGGGTCGAGATGACTGTTCTTCTTCGACCAATTCGAGTATCATGATGCGTTGAAACAATCGGTAGAAGCTAGCGCCTCTTAATGTGCTTGCTGGTCTACATTGAGTTTGACACGTATAAACTTTGCATATAATGGTATCCAAGTAAAAGGACTAGCATTCTGGAAGAATAAAAAGTAGTCATGATATCCAAAACGGGGCGGAGAATACGAGAGCGTGATATAAGATGGCCAATATGCACGACTAAGTTGTTATGAGATGCTCGAAAGTGGCAGCGTTGCCATTGTCTCCCTTAGGAAGAGGCGTAATATATTCATTGGTTTCACGCGGTTTAAGGATCACAATGAGGTATGGATGGAATTATATTTGGGTTTAAGAGAATGTGTTTTAATTATGAAATGACTGACTTACCTTTACTCGGCCTCGCCTCTCCCACTAGAGAGATAGAATTTGTAGAAAAAGCGCCCTGAAAGATTTAATCGTTCGGTAAACGAGTACCAGACTGTAACTTGGCCCACTTGAACACCGTCGTTACATTGTCGGCGCTTGTGAGACAAAACTTCCTCACGAGCGGTGCATCTCTCAAACTTACGTTTTCGGTTTCGTTGAAAAGTGTCTTCGATGTTCAGACGCTTGAGTCGAGCGGCAAGCTCATTGACCTCATGGGTATGCTGGTCTTGAATTGTTGCTTCTATATAGTTTGACATATTGATGCAGGCGTTATTGTTGTAACGATTTGAATGTTGTGATTTGAATGGGAAAGAGAGAAAAGATATCAAGAAGGATGAATAGAGTTTTATACTTAAATTTTGTAACATGTTCACAGCTGAGTCGATGAGGAAAACAATGCACTGATTCTCAGTGCTAGCATACCCTTTGTTATGTATTAAAGAAATCTTCATATGTTTTGAATTGTTCCCTATTTCCTTTGTCGTATCTATCTTTGTCAATGGTAGACTACAACATTAAGCTTTTCTGTCTTCAGCTATTCCATTGTTCGGGGACACCAACGAAACAACAGCCCCACTAGTTCGAGTTGAAAGTTCTGACTTAGGTCCATGGAGGGTATCCAAACGTGCGAATGCTGATCACATCGCCATTAAACCTACAACTACCTCAATTGACCACTTCCCGGCTGTTCAGTCTTTTTTTGCAAATGAAGGCAAAAATTCCATAACTGTAGCCACGGCCCACTTGAGAGTCGTGGTCATATCAATGTCCAAACCTCCATCCTGGCATTTCAGACCTAGCTCCCTAACAACAGCTTCTTTTAATTTACCCTCGACATCATCACCTTCGAACATCCATTTGTGATCCTCAACATAATTTGGCCATACAATCTTATCGACGTATCCAGGTGGATCTTCCCAGAATCCCTCGAGAGTCACATAGCCACTACGAGCCTCCCTTCGACCTTTTGCTTTTTCATAACTAACACGTAGGAAAAGTTTTAGGTCGATCTGGGATTGAAGTGCGGCCAAGGACTTGGAATAGAGAAGAAATCCATCAAAGATGCAAAGACGAATGGGAGAATCTGTGTCTGATAAGATTCCATGTCCTGGCTGCCCAGGCTGAGTCCATGTCTTAACTTCAGATTTCAATGCCTCGATATCTTCATCCGACACGGGACATTCTCCTATAGAATTTTTGTCTTCTTTGGAATCGAGATTAGGCTATGAAGAGTGAGGAGTCGTTCTGCAAGATTCGCAACTATCAAAACACAAATAAAAAATAATAACTGACAGGAAATGTGCCTTCTTTGCGTATATGCTCAAGAGACTTGACCATTTCTGGTATATCCAAAGCTTCCGCGCAGTCCCAATCTACTAGATCATGCTTCTTAGGGAGTCTGGTTATTATTAGTAGGGGGTACATTGAAAAGTACTTCGTAAATCAGACACTAGGTCGCAAAACTGGAAACATATCAAAAGCTATACAGGCAAAATCCAAACTCACTCTTCTTCGGGTCTATAGAAGTCATCTTCGTGAAGAACGAAAGTATGTGGAAAGATATCACGGAGAAGTCGACTAAGTGTTGTCTTACCACTAGATGAACACCCACTAATGCCAAGTACCACTGCTTTCTTGGAATCTTTCATTGTGAGAAGTCAACGGTTCCTATGTCTAAGCTGGACTATCGTCAACTGTTGCTGTCGATCTCGAGATTGCTTCTCAAGCTGAGGCCGTTGAAGGAGGGGTTTGAATATTGGGTAATCATAGTCAGCACCCGTTTATTTTGTCTCGACGCTGTGACCAATTCGATAACGAATCTTTCCGATATCACATCATGTTTTGGTGGATCAATGTCTTGACTGCCTTTACATGTACAGAAGTGATCCGTGAATGCGAAATATTGCCTCAAACGCTGTATGTAACGGTGATATAAATGCATATGAAAGTGCTGAAATATGGGCCTGAGTACATTACCGTCCATTGCCAATAAATTATATCTTCAAAATTTATTCTTATTCGTGCGCATCTTCAATTACAAGACAATCCGAACTTATGCCAGTCCGCTCAATCCCCAGACACCCATGCACACGCCAATCGGAAGCTTGTGGGTAGTTTCTGGGGCAGCTGTTCTCAAGACGAAAGTATTTGCTTGGCCTCGCCTGTTTCTTCAAGCAACCTTGCTGTCAGATTCATTTAATTGAATTAATATTCCCTCTTTTACCCAAACATCCTCTTTCCCAATTGTCAACCTTCAAGATGCTTTCTCCCTTCAGATTAGCCAGCAGGCAAGCCATTACCCGTGGTGTTGCTTCCAGAAGTAGCATTGCCATCAGACAAGCTTCCACATGGGCAGATGTCCCTCAAGGTCCTCCAGTACGTATTTCTTGTCAATGGCACTACTTTAGACACTTTTAGGCTAATTCAACACAGGATGTAAGTTATTGACTCTTCTAATTCGATAGAGGGGTAGTTTTCTGACTGTGCGATCGTTTGTGACAGGCCATCTTAGGTATGAGTCAACAATGGGATTATTTGTTTGATCTGAAAATCTAACAACAATACAGGTATTACTGAGGCCTTCAAGGCAGATAGTTTCAAGGAGAAGATCAACTTAGGTTTGCAGCACCGGACCACTTTCAATTTAATCCCACTAACTTTATTCTAGGTGTCGGCGCATACAGAGATGATGCAGGCCAACCTTACGTCCTCCCATCCGTCCGAACCGCAGAAGACAAGGTCGTACAAGCAAAGCTCAACAAAGAATATGCGGGTATTACTGGTGTTCCAGATTTCACCAACGCAGCTGCTGTTCTTGCATACGGTGAGGGATCGAGTGCCCTTGATCGTTTAGTCATTACACAATCCATCTCCGGAACTGGAGCTCTCCGAATTGGAGGTGCTTTCCTCCAACGATTCTACCCTGGCGCAAAGAAGATCTACATCCCAACTCCATCGTGGGCAAACCACGCTGCAGTATTCAAGGATTCGGGTCTCGAGGTTGAGAAATATAGATACTATAACAAGGACACAATCGGCCTCGATTTTGAGGGCATGATTGCAGACATCAAGGCTGCACCAAAGGGAAGCGCTTTCTTGCTCCACGCATGTGCGCACAACCCCACTGGTGTCGACCCAACTATCGAGCAATGGAAGGAGATTAGCGATGCTGTCAAGGCTGGTGGACACTATGCTTTCTTCGACATGGCCTACCAAGGATTCGCCTCTGGTGATACCGACAAGGACGCTTTCCCCATCCGTCACTTCATTGAGCAAGGCCACAACCCATGTCTCGCCCAGTCTTTCGCCAAGAACATGGGATTGTACGGTGAGCGTGTTGGTGCATTCTCCATTGTCTGCGCCGATGCCGCCGAGAAGAAGCGTGTTGATTCACAAATCAAGATTCTTGTCCGCCCTCTTTACTCCAACCCTCCCGTTCACGGTGCCCGTATTGCTTCTACCATCCTCAACGACAAGGCTTTGAACAAGCAATGGCTTGCTGAGGTCAAGGGAATGGCTGATCGTATTATCACCATGAGAGCTTTATTGAAGAAGGAACTCGAGAACTTGGGCTCAAAGCACGACTGGTCTCACATCACTAGTCAAATTGGCATGTTCGCATACACTGGTTTGACCCCTGAGCAAATGGATAAATTGGCTACTGAAGTAAGTTTTTTCCCGGACTGATATAGTAGAAGTAGCGCTAATCATAAACTTAGCACTCTGTATATGCTACCAAGGATGGTAGAATTTCTGTTGCAGGTATCACTTCAGCAAACGTCAAGAGATTGGCTGCTGCTATCCATGCTGTCAAGCCATAGATCGGTTATATAATTTTAATCCCAAAATCTAATATAGCACGGCGTGGTACAAATAGCGTCAAGATTCTAGAGCCTAGTCCAGAAGAATAGATAAATGTAACAAATACCATTGAAACAAATAAAAAGTCTTCCCTCCATGAATTGTTATTGAATTCAATTAAATTGATCAAAGTATTACCATTCATTGCATCCCCAATAGAAATATCATGTCTTTCAGTTCTCTCAATGCAACACCAACTCTCCTCTGATCTTTTCAAGCCGTAAGTTCATCCATCTTTCCGTCTGATCATCAAAATCGTAAAATCATAAATCATCCTGTCCTTCTCTTTCTCTATCACTGATCCACGCGATCAACTTCCCCTCAACCTCTCCACATCCCTTTTCACCTCCTGCAGCTCTTCCCTAAGTTCCCCGTATACCCTCGCAATCTCCCTCATCTGCCTCTCCTTCCTCTCGTCTTCTCTTCCTACTCCATATCCCCACAAATCCCTTTCTTTCAATTTCCCTCTCTCCTTCAGCCTCTCCCTACCCCCACGCAATTCCCGCATATAATTTTGCAAAGCTTCGGTTGTCCGTTCGTCGTAGATGATTTTTTCTCCTTGTACATACTTGAGTTGCAATTCGTGAGAGATAGTCTGGGATTGGAGGGAGAGAAGAGAGATTTTGGAAATAGTGTGTCGGGTAATGGGGCCGTGTTTTGAACGCTCGAGAAGCTGAATTATGAGGGCTGTGGCGCGGTGGTATAACGTTAGGAGCTGCGTGGTGGTGTTGGTTAAGGTTGTGCGGGCGAGAGCGAGAGAATGGGATTGCGTGAGCAGAGTGGATTGCAGGGTCAAGACGCTAGGAAGGAGATTGGGGATTTGGCGGTGCAAGAAAGAAGCGTTTGTTGTCGGGGAAAGGATTCGCGAAAGGGATAGGGCGGTGTTGTGGAGGTTGGTGCTGAGGAGTGCGCTCAGGTGTGGAAGGTGGGTTGAGAGGGAATGGTATGTCGGTGTGGATTCTAAGAGGGTAATATCGCGTTTGGAGAGAGAGCTTGAGGGAAGAGAGAGCTTTGCTGTGAGGAGAATAACTAGTTCAATGAGTTCATCTGGTAATTCGGCAGCCTTTCTTGGGGGTGCGGGTTGAGAAGTTCGCGTTCGAGGTTTCGCGGGGATAGGAGGCGGTGGTGAAAGGTCCAGGGACGACAGAGAAGAGATTAGGATCTGCGACTTTGCGGCTTCTATTCTGGCAGTTTTGAGTGCCTAAGAGTGTATGTTAGTAACTGTACAAACTAGTCGAGTGAGGGGAAAAGCTACCCCAGAGACTGCATCCCGCTCTTTCTGAGCTGGATGATTTTTAGTAGAGCCATTAGGATTTAAAATATTGGTTGAAAGTTTTTTGTACAACTCTGCAAACTTGGGGTTACTCTGAAGAATGGACTCTTCGACAGGAGGCAGCATGTCGCCGTTGGTGTTAGAACTGGTTATTGGGTTGTGCCAGATTTGCCAACACCACACTCCAAAAGTTTTGTAGCAAGTCTAGCCAAAATTATATTTCTCAAACTTGGGAAAAGTAAAGATTTCGTTGCAGATTTCGAATCAGGGAGATTTTAGGATCTCGAAATCAATTGTCTTGGGAAATCTGGAAAAATGGCTGTTGATGTCTACGAGGGTGCGTTTTGGGCAGTTGTCAATTTATTTCGACAAGGATTATGGGGATTGCGCATTTCTGACGAGGCTAATGTGGATCTAATTGGGTTAGATCATTAATCCCCATTACCTCGCTCTTGCCCGACTTAGGATTCTGTCATATTTGATATCAGACGATTGCGAACTTGTCAACATCACTCATACAAACGCAAACAAGATATTCTCTGGACCTGAGATACATACTTCTACTCCCAGTTCAATGCGTCAATGCAATTTACCTGCTGCTATATTCCGTTCTCAATTAGTAAATTCAAACTCTGTCAAGCTTTTCTTTGCCCCTCCTGTTTGCTTACTTCAGTCCAAATTTGACCTGAAATCAACCCAATTCGGTCCAAACTTTATTGTTCAACCAGCTGTCCGTCCCCTGAAATTCGGTACGTTCGGAGGTTATCAATAATGAATGATTCTTTTCAGCTAAACTTTTTCAAGCCTGAGGAAATCCCTTTTCCTTCCTCGTCCTTGCGACCAAGCTTCGTGGTATGGTGTATGAAGCAATCGTCGGCTTCACGAGCAACAATGTCTAGCCCTATCTCGAAAGACTACTGCACGAAGTAATTTCTATCGCAGGGAGTACCAAAAGTTCTGGTTGAGCTCTTTCAATTTCACTTTAACTTGCAAACAAATCAGACATGAAGCTCAGAGATTGTTTCACAGACAGAACGAGCTCAGATTCGAAAGCCTCCACCATTCAACATGGTGTGGACCAGGATGTATTAAAGGCACTTTCTTACGAGGGTATCATGCCGGCAGTCATTCACCTGGGATTGACACTGGTTGAGTCAAATTGTATTGAATTGTGATGAGTGTCCGGGTGTGGCTCTCGTTTGAAGATTGACCGGGCTTCGATCTCAGGAGTACCACACAGAAGTCATTAATATGTGGATCGAAACTACAGAGAATCATCTAGTTGGTTTCGTTGAAATCAACATCCGAATGTCCGGATAGATGGCAATATCTCTGGAGAGCCCTTGTCATGCAGAGACTCATGGGTCGTCATAAACCAGACGTCGAAGAGATTGGTACTTGCGAAGCAGAAACTTGTTGAGACTAGCGATTAGTGAAGCATGTGGTATTGATGCGATGCAGAAGATGACTGTTAATAATTGCTTGAAACTCACAGAACAATTGAGGATTCTAGGTGGTGTTGTGGAACTATGACAAGAATTTCTGACAAGGTCCCTACTTTGCGCTATTGAAAACCTTAACCAGTTGGAATATTGAAAGAAGTTCTACGATAATGACTGGGATAATCTCATAGTTTTGAAGGGTTTTGATGCTTTGGAGTCCATGGATACTTCTCTGTATGGCAGCATCGTAATATTACCTAAAATGGTATTTAGATAATCATCCCAGGAAATTGCTCCCTTAGAGCACTAGCTTTCCAACTTCAGCATATATCAAAATCCAAAACTGTGTCTACAAACTCAAAGGAACAGCTCGGTGTGAGTCAAGCCGAGCAATGTTTTACTTATTGAAATCTCGACTTTCTATCACATCAGGGTCTCAGCAAATCTCCTCTAAACAGAATTGATTGGGTATTTTTTCATATTTTCCCTTGATGCTTCATCAACTAATTTGCTACAGAGAAGAGTTTGTCTGAGGGGAGTTTTCCCGTCATACTGTTTCACTCGTCGTGACTCACCAAATCAGGGACTCAATCAAATTAGTCTGTTTTATCCTATGAGTTGTTCTTGTATGTCTCGCTATTGCTCGGATCTATAAGACGCACACATCACTTCCAGTAAATCGTACATATTTTTATATCAGGTATCTTTCGATGCTACTCTCTAGGGTCCTCTTACTTAGTATTGAATTGCCGGTTATTGCCGAGGTAATTTATTATTGAATGCAATGGAATCTTCAGAAACACTTCAAAACAGGATACATGAAAAAGTCAAAGTCAAAGAACTTTCCTTACGTGCGATCGTTCGCACGTATGGAGTTTTTTGACGCCGTAACGCCTCCACAGCATGAAAATTGCACACATGATTCAAATCTTCATCTCCGGATCGATATAACAAGTCCTTGGAGGTTCAGCCGCACGGCGGATCTGAGGAAACGCCACAACGAATATGGGTTTTCGCCGGAACCTTGGAAATGTGAGAGACTCTTAGATGCCATGGACATCTTAACAACATCCAAAAGACAGTAGAATCTGCACACAGTGAACAATGTTTACGTGCATAGAAGCGGCCATAAAGTTTCTATCTTGACTTCCTTGCTTATTTCAACGACAATCATAAGCTTTTCAGGTATTATAAGGCAGCAACTTGATTTAATTAGTCGTCTCAGACGATCCCATCTTTAATGGGGAGTTTGAAGGAATGAGATGCTAGTGCAAGCCTTCTTGAACCACTTTTCTACACAATCCTCAAATATATAAGGTTATTTTTCAGCAAAGATGGGCTGCTGAACTTGCGAGTTCGGACTTTTCAAAGATCTGAATCCTTCCGATCATCAATCTCCACAAAATACTTATTTAAGTTAGTGCTTCTAGATTGATTGGCCTGTTCGTATACCATTTGGATTTCAAAACTGCGGTGGTGTTGCTGGGATTGGGGTGATCTTTTGCAGTTGATGGATATCTGTGCTGTACGAGTACGTGAATGATGTGGATCCCATAAGCATAGCTTGGGGTAGACTACAAATATACTTTTTTGGAGTAGAGTTTATTCATTTTATTTTCTGTATATCTATTGATGTACGCATAGTATTTAGATAGAGTTCTACGTATGTTTTTGAAGTTTGCTTCTTCGATTCATTACTTGTTTAGAATTTTCCTGTGACTCGTATTCTTTCCCTAGTTATATACCAACATCTGGCGAAAATGAGCTTCGATACCAAAGTTCCCCAAGGACTATTAGGTAGCGAGATCAAGAGAAAAATGGTCGCCTCTCCAAATTTAGATGAGAAGCCATCTATAGCATAGTAAGTCTCCTAGTTCTCATGATTAAAAGATCTAGACTAACATTCACAAAGTAATTCTCCAGACTACGACCCAACCCAGGCACCACCGTATCTGATGGATCCCTATTCCCAAGAAGTAGATTCCCAGGACAACATATCCATCAACCAAACACTCACCTCTACCCCCTCGTTTCCAATCACAAAACTCGTCATTCCCACCAAAACAGATTCTTTAGCCTCCGGCTTTCCTTTCCATCAACGTCTCTACGATTACCGTGTTTCTCATGATGAATGGCATCTCTTTACACACGAAATTGTCAAAGCAGCTAGTCTCACTATACAGGAGGACTGGGCAGCATGGACCGCCGGTATTTCTACCGGTGTATTAAGTACCGGACTCCTTGTTTTCGCTGGCCCTGTTGCAGGGTATTATACCGGAAGATCGGTTCACAGAAAGAAAGTAGTTGAAAAGGTCAAAGACGGATTAATGCATGAGGGAAGTTTGAGAGCTACGCTGCATAAATGGAATGATCAGTCATTTAGAGGCAAGGGTTTTCAGGCGTGGTTAGAACTACCCTCTGTTAAGGGCGAGATCAATGGAGAGCATGATCAGGAAGAGTCGAATAAAAAGTGTAGTAGGAAGGAGAAGAACTTGAAGAAGAAGGAACAGAGAAGATTTAGGATTGTCATTATCCCTAACGATGCGCCGATGGGTATGTTAATGAGTAGCCAACAGTCGACTTGGAGTTTGGGGAACGTCGAGTCGAATCAAAGGAGTGGGATTGCGGAAGCGCCTGATACTGAACAGAGACAGCCAGCGGTCGCGGAACTTCCATCATAATGGGTGAATCTCAAGATTTGTTTTGCTAATTTCTGGCGTTCGGGGGGTCGAAGACGTCGTAATGTCCTATATTCACTTTTGGTGTGGTGGAAGGAGGCCGGAAAAGCAGAATCTTGCATAATGGGTGAATTTCATGAGGTGTATTACTCATATGTGGCTTTGAGAAGTCAGTGGTGTAGTAAATTGGTTCGTTATTTACTGTAATTGTGGTACAACAAGCAATTTCATATTCGGTTTTAAAGTTATCAACTCACTCCGCAATTCATCTGCACCAACCGTTAGCGCTCCTTCCCCGCGATCAACTTCTTTCCTTCTTTGGACTTGATTCACCCCCTCGAACTTTTATCCTTATATACAGTCGTTAAGACTCCACATTCGAAAATATTCCCTCTCCTCTACAACAACTTCTATACAGCAACTCTCAAGCTCCTCAACTTTGATAGCATCTTACTCTCGGATTCAAACTTCGAGTTCTTACCACCTATCTTAACCATACCACATGCGGCATCATGGCTTCCAAGAAGGATACACTCTATCCCAAAATCTCTGGTAAGCCCAAAAACTTACTTCTGGAATTCTCAAAGTACCAGAGAACCTCGAAGACTCGACGTACTGGGAGTATTCCTGTCACCGGAACAGTAAAACTTCATGGAACTCATGGAGACATTCGCGTTACAGCAGACGACACTATTTATGTACAGACTCGAAACTCGGATGTTCTTACACCGGCTCTCGACAGCTTGAAATTCCTTGATTTCATCCAGCCCGCTCGAACAGAAATCCTTGCCCTGAAAAGGCAGTTTCATGCTCGTTTCATGAAGCTGAACCCCAAAGCCAAGATTAACGATGAACATCCTCTCATCATCGCTGGCGAGTGGATCGGCCCTAAGATCCAGAAAGACGTAGCAGTCAGTGCATTGCCAGATCGATATTTCGTCATCATTTCTGTTTCTATCAACAACGAATGGCAGCCGGATGAACCATATTCAGACATCGAAAACGAGTCTATCAACATTGTAAACATTTCTCGGGGAGGGTTTTACCACGAAACCATCGAACTGAAGAATCCGGAACCAGAATTCGCAAAGATGCAAGCTCTGGCCGATGAGGTGGAGAAAGAGTGTCCTTTTGCGAAGACTTTTGGCCTCATTGGCCTTGGTGAAGGCATCGTCTGGAAACCTGCTGCGCCTCTTTGCCATGATGCAAAATACTGGCTCAAGTTAAAGGGTCCAATTTCCATGGGGATTGTAGAGGCTGGGCCGGCCGCTCGCATGCCGCAGCGAAGCCAATTCATCGCTCCTGTCTTCGCGGCTCCAGCTCCCTCCTCTGCTGCCACGAACAAAGCCACGCCGAATAGTAAGATAAGCAACATGGCATCACAAGGAAATGTCATCGGTATACCCACCGTCTCAGCGCCGCCTTCCTCTGTTGCAGCGAATAGAGCTTCCAACAAGCCAGTAGGTGAGCAACTATTGTTGGAAGGTCTGAGTTTGAGACAATCTCCGGCGCTGTCAATCTCTCCTTTCGCTACAGGAAGCAAAATACTTGGTCAGGTGCTACCCGAAGGTCCTGGCTTGGCAGAATATTCAATGGCATCTGCATCCACACCATTGGGAATGAAGAAAACTGCAAGTGAAAATTCGGGGGATTCTAGAATTGATGGAGATGGTACTCCATCGCCTTCGTTGCGAAGACGGGTCAGCGACATGTCATCAGAGACTCAAGGCTCTGGGCCAGGGCCATTGACGCACAGAAGTGTTGGGGAAGAGAAATTGCAAGATTCGAGAAATATCAGAAAAGCCACAACCATGTCAGAGGTATCGAAGAAGGTTGTCTCAATCTCGCTGGAGAATGCAAGACTTCTCGAGACTCTCAAATCGGCACCAGTGACACCTGATATGTTCCAACAGGTTAGATCAGAGATCATGAGCCTTTTTCGGACGAGCAGCCCTGCGAAGTTGCCAACCGTGCCCAAGAGAGAAGTCGAGTATACGCCAGAGGTCTCGAAGTCTGGTGAGAGTGTTTTCCCTTCTTCAGTTGTCCTCGAAGAAATTGAATGTGAATCATTAGACGACGAGGATCAGGAAGAAGGCGGATGGCCTATGCCATCATTCAGGAAGAAAGCCCGCAGAAAACAGACCAAGAACACTGGTCTCGTTCCTCTGATCACAGCCACCGTGGTAGTCGAAGCCATCGAATCAGAGCATGTGCAGCTGAGTCCTGTGCCATCAAAGGTTGGAGATGAAAATGAAGAGTACTCCGAAACTACCAAACCGGCTTGTCCACCACTGATTCTCAAGAAGATCGAGGGACCAGAGGTAATAGCAGCCAGAAACTTCGCGAACGAAGTAATTTGGGAGAGAAGATTGGAGCAAGGATGGCAATATCTCACCGAGAAGGGAGAACGTACCGAGAGACAAAACGCAGAAAAGTTTTTGAATTGGTTGTGGGAAGACGTGGAGGTAGAGGAGGAAATGGAGATCGAGGAGCTTGAACTCAATGTTGCTCTCTTGAAGAAAGAGATTTTTAAAATTGGCAGAGATTGGTACTTTGAGCATTTAGCCTTCGAGGAGCAGAATGAGAACTGGGGGGTTGGAGCAGCGCGTTAAATATTAAGAAACTTGAATCTCTAGCATAATACCGGGTGGAACTTATTTATGAGCGTAATATAGAAATCTACATTCTTGCATACCTACATTCGACTTTCTGATGCTCTTTATGTCTTTTGATGAGATTGTGCATGTATGACCACTATTACGATGTTCAAAATGTAAAAAAAGACAATTAGCACTAACGCTCGGGTTCGAGGGCCTCTTTGTGGACGATTGTCTCCCAGATAGACACTATCCACTAATCTGTGAGACAATCGTTGACGAGATTAGTTTGACACTAGCCGTTGCTTAATATCATACATGTGCATACCAGGTGCATCTTCAAATGGTAACACCATCTTCAACGACCAGAGTCAAAGTCCTACCATCAGTCTGGCGTAAATATAAGTTGGGTTTCACGATACTATTACTGATAGCGTGGTCCCTTAATGTTATCTGCCATGCAATCAAATTGATTGGAGCTAAGCGAGCTAAGTAACAAATTCAGTTCCTGCTGAAGTGTGGTAGGTTGTACACGTGACTTTGAGGTCTCGAAATATTTTTGTTGCATGTCTTAAAAAGTTGCAAAGTTGCGAAGTTCATCGTTGATTTTAGCTCCAGAATTTATAAAAAATACATCGGCTGGGAATAAGAACACTTTGGGGAATTATTTCCGGAGTCCTGATGTCCGTGTTGTGAGGATAATTGGTCTGTGCTCAATATTAATTCTCCTCTTGAACTGTCTTCATCGGATCATTATAGATAGATGATATGCTAAAATTACTGTTATTCGACCTCGAGGGTTGCATGTGGAATTCAAGTTACAAGCGTAATCGATATAGTGTTGATTCTACTATCGAATTTTACTTGACGTCCTCCACGACGAACGCGTTGCTACGATTATGGCACCATATATACGAAATCTGCAGCTGGAAGTTCTTCGGGCTGAGATAAAAATACAATACAGATATGGTCGACAACCTTGAGGAACTCAAAGAATAACGCTCGAATTCTTTATGGTTGTGGTAATTAGTGTCTACCCATGTATTGTTCTTTCTCTCCTCAATAATGACTTCTGTTCCCTTTCTTTATTCCTAGCTCAGACCGCAAACGGTCTTCTTTCAATACTTGTTCGTGAACTTTCATAACCCCGTCCTTGAAGGAAGTCAATCTGATACAATTTGAAGCGGAAATTAAGGACCCTGTTCTCAAGCTTCTCATATGTACGATTCGCAATAAGACATTTGTGCCAAATCCCTTCCAAGATGGCTGGTCTTCAAAATCAATTCAAGGTCGTTTCGACCACCGAGTATTTAGGCACCACAGTTGAGGTCCTCGAAGGAGATATGTTAAGATATCCGGTCGATGTGATTGTCAATGCCGCGAATGTTAGGTTGAGGAGGGGAGGTGGTATTGATGGAGCAATTCATGCCGCAGCTGGTCAAGAACTTCAAGCTGAAATGAACAAGCTATTTCCGCATCCAGGACAAGTGGGTGAAGCTTATGGAACGACCTCTTCTTCCAATATCAGATCTTGCAGATATATTATTCACGCTATTGGTCCGAATTGGAATATAGTAAACCAGCGAGACGGAAAACTTTTGTTGAACGCTTTTCGGAAGAGTCTAGACCTTGCTATGGCTAACAAGTTGAGGTCCATTGCATTTCCAGGAATCTCGATGGGCATTTTTGCAATGCCAAAAGATTTAGCAGGGTTAATGATAATGACCGCCATTAGAACATGGATCAAGGAGCACCCGGGAGAAATGGATCGCATTAGTATACTGCTACTTGGGTATTCACAAAACGATATAGTAGAGACGCAGTTGCACGAAATTACTCGATATATGCCAGACACGGGTTCTAATCTGGATAAGTTGGTACCCGCAGCTTTCAGAAAAAAGCCTCATGTTACTACAGCATCAGCACCTCTTCCAATCCCGATAACCACTGGGCTTCTACCTGGCACGACAATTCCCAGCCCTTCCTCTGAAGGTTCGGGTCTAGTTGGGACTCCAGATCCTAATACTGAACAATCTCCTTCACCAGCACCTCCTCCTCCTTCATCAACACCTCCACCTTCACCTCCACCTGGCCCTCCCCCACCTGGCCCCCCTCCACCTGGAGGCCCAGCTGTACCTCCCCCAAGACCCGAAGGCGCGCGTGTTGAGACTCCAAGCGATTCCGAAGACGAACCACCCAACTATCTCCTCAATTTCTACGAACCACTATCACGCATGTGGATGGGAAGCGATCGTTATTACGCTTTGTTAGAAGCGGGAATTGACCCCCAAACCTTCTACGAAGGAATGATCATTCCTGATCCCGAAGAAGATCCCAATGTAGATCCCCTCATTGGCGAAGAAAGAGATTTCTGGAGGGAATATAACGCCGAGAGACTCCGTCGAGGAAAAGAAATTAGTCAAGCTTTAGGATTACCAATGACAGCTGCAGAAACGGCGGATGATGATGCCGGGGCCTTGAAAACTGCTAGGGAGAAAAGTATATCTGATACACAAGAACTTATGAGAACAAAAACAGCAGTTCGCGATGAAATAATTATAAATGAGGGGACAACTAATTGTACTGCTCTTACAGAACGTGGATTCCCATGTCTTTTTCGTGGCTATACTGCGATATGGCGCAAGCATAATGTCCCGGATCGGTGTACTTTACATCAGGATCTGGAGAAATTCCCGCGGGCTTGAAAGAAGAGTCAAAGTTTTAGGGCTATTGGATTTGTGGTCAGAGGATAGGTGTCTATTCATAGCTTGGATTTAGCCATTTGTTTGGATAGACGATTAGTTATATTGGTCTCGAATCAGATGTTGTGTCGTTTCCTTTCTTACCTTCCTCAATCTCCGACAGGAGAAGATGAATTGTAATCTTCAGAATCAAGTTAGATAGTGTTTCTGCGAGGCCAAAATCTTAATATCTGCAACAACAATTAAGATCACGAGAGCGCAGATATTATCTAGAATTCCTAAGACCCAAAACATAACATATCGAGTGATGCACAATAGTAAGGAATACAAAAATCAAGAGCATAAATATCTTTCCACGTTATTTAGTAAAACCAACTTCTTACGTTTATGAATGACTATCCTATGGAATCCCAAAGACTATTCCCTCCAGGTGCAGTAACTTGCTATTCTGAATCTACTATGTAAGTTCATGCTAAATTGTAAATACTTTGCAGACACACTGTGAAGTGAAGAATTCAAATAAAAACCATCAAGACTACTAACTTACTAAGTACATCAAACTCCGCATATCCCCATTTTCCTCGTAATTACCAAATCCCCAAACCCAAACTATCCATCACACATAAACCCACACACGCAGACAGAATGTCACTCTCCCTCTCTCACAGAACCATCTCCCTCCCCATCCCCTCCCACCCAAACTAAATCTCGTACCTGCAGGTACAAAGCCGCATGTACCCCCCTGCCCTGCAACCAACCACACCCCCTCGCTTAAATCTCCTCGGGCAAAACCTTGGAACTCCACTCCACAATCACAACGGCTCAACGGCTCGAACGGTAACGGCCAAGCCCACCCCACCCACCAACCAAACACCCCACTCACCACACCCATCAAGCTCATCAAATTTTTCTCCCCGACGGATTCATCTGCTGCATCCGCGGACCCTTCTCCATCTTCATGCATGCATGCTCTGTGGCATCCACATGTCGTTCATTTATTTTACTTTCTAGATCTTGATCGCTCATGCGGGTTTGACACCATGACAGTCGGTCTTTGTTGAGAGGCGTGTTGGGTCTTCTTGAATCCGCTGCTGGTTTTCTCTTCTCTTGTTCGCGCGTCTGTTCGTGTACGTACACCAGTATATGTATGTGTGACATTGTATGTCCGATATATATGCATTGCAAAATCATAAGTGGGAGAGAAAGAAAAATATCTCCGGTGTAATACCGTCGATTTGTGAGGGAGGTTTTGGAGTTGTCGATATCGAGGAAGTTGTTTGGACTTGGAAGAAAGGGGATGTTTTCATATTCTACACGATTTTCTGTATCTCATTATGTTCTCTCTTACCACCCTTTCCTCCTTTCTTCTAACGTATTATATCTACTATGCACCTTCAAAGTTCACAATCCTCCATTCCATCATCTCCCCTAAAGTTCAAACAACATCCAAAACCCGAAAAAGAAAGAAATCTCTTCATCCCCAACAAGGGGGGAAAGAATCAAAGATACTTACTATCTACGAACCACACACACACTGCACTACTCCACTCCACTCCACACAACAGCAATAACTAACTACTCCAGAACCAACCCTTTCCTCCACAGTTTCCATGAACAACAAATTCCATCATGAATCATAGAAACAGACGTCCCATCCATTCCATTGTATAGGCTAAATACCTCGTCTCCCTATCCGCCCCACTCCCTACCCCCCTTTTCGAGAACCCCTACCGAAAATTCTTCTCTCCAACATCTCCTCTCCCCTTAGGCCCTAGTATTCTCAAAAGCGCACCAACGGTGACCAACTCACCAAGCATTCAACACGCCTTCAAAAACACAAAGATTTTTCCCCTTTCTACAATATCATGGAAAAACGGAAGCGAACCATGTGATTGACATCATCTGATCTAGCATTGTATGTAGTGCAAATCTAGGTATACTTGATAAGTGACATGACCTATGACGCAATAGTATCGAAATAACATGACATGATACAAAAGTGCAACTTGATGTGACTGGGACTTTTATATTGTCTTCACGTGAACATATACTCTGTACGCAAGGCAGAACATCTAGACAAGAAGACTTTGAGTCAACATCTTTCATTCAATTGTATTATACTAGCCTACCTCCATCATGTTAAATGCCACGGCGCGCGACTGCCACATTCAACATTACCTAAATACACCGGTACAAAAGCACACATACCAACAACTCCCTTGACTTCAACCAACAAACTCCACTCCACATCGATCCACCCAACTCAACTCCATCAAACCCGTCAGAAAATGCACCAATCCTCATCCCCAGTTCCATTGTTTCTTCTCAAACCATTGAATCCATCCACACATTCGGCAGTTGCGTACTCCCAATATTCCCGCACTTCTATATGTTGAAATGCAATTCTAAATTGTTAGGTCGTCAAAGTACGACCATGAACCCGTTTAATAGTCCCATTAATTGCCCGATCAAATCTCGTAGTCTAGCACGTGCCTCCCATACTAAACACCAAAATGCCAAACGAATCAACCGCCAAATTACGCCCGCTATAGTTTAACAAGAAACACATAGGAAAAAACTAAAATCGAGAGACAAATAACTCGTAAAGCAATGGTACTAGTATGTACGATACCTTGATGATATGAGCCAATTTGTCTCCACTACGTTGAGCGCTCGCCATCCTCGATAGTGTCTACCGGCGGGTCTTGTGTAGTTCGTTAGCTAGAGATCGTAATGAGAGGCTTAGTTCCCAATTACCATAATCAAGAGCACAATACTCCCAATCAACAAAAGAGCAGTTATAATAAGCACAACTCCTCGGTGCACCCAACCAAGCCTTTCATTGCGACATGCCATGCAAATTAATCCACCGGCAGCCAGAGCAAATCCTAACAAGGCACCCGTGAGTGCACCCAAGTCAACTTCCGTCCTTAATTTATGTCGACCTGTTGCAAGAAGAAGTGTGGATGCAGCTTCAGATAGTATTGAAAAGAAAAAGCAAGCAATCATTGTGAATAACAAAGTTTGTTCTTGGAATCGACTCAATCGCTGATCCGCCACGCTGGGAAATGTTGCATAATGAGCAACATATCCATTCGGAAAATCCGCCGAGGAGGCATACGCTTCGTCTTCGACATCGGTTATCGAACCATTGGCTGTTCCGCTTGGACTTTGTTGAAAGTATCCTCTATCTCGATTTCCCAATAGTGGCTCACGTTCCCGATTTTTTGTTGAACCGGGACGTATAAACCAACCCCTAACTTTTCCCATTCCTTGTTTTGTTCGTCGAATCGCACTTGCTACAACTTCTGCGCCAGGGAACGTCATTTCCGCATTAGGATCCGTATATATATAGTATGGCTCGTCCTGATCGACATCACTCCCGTTGTCGTATTCGTTCCAATATGTTTGTCGAGGCGGCGATCGCTGTAGTGTTTGTGATGGGGCACGGCCGAGACTGTCTCTCCTCGAACCCATACTAGGAGTAGACGGCCCGCTCGTCATTGGCGTAGAAGCACGGATAAGCGTGATGAGATCGTTATATTGAGAATGTAAGGAACTGAAATCTTGTCTCGTGAAGCTTTTTGGATTGCCCAATACCTCAACTTCGAATCGTTCCTTGAGTGTTCGAGATCCGGTCCATTTCTAACGACATCAAATAAGTTTTTGCATTATTGAATTCACATGTAATCGACCATACCGTATATTTCTTCAATAACTTGTAGAATGCGACACGCTGGGCTTCAACAAATCGATCCAATTTCGCAAGATCATCCCCGCAACTCTCAATCTGCATGTTATACTTGGAAAACTTGTTCATCCGCTTCCTCGTCATCTGCCCAGTGGAGCTTTCTGCACATCTTGCAAGTAATCGCAGGACAATAGTCGATAGATATTCTGTTGTTCAATTATTAGCATTGACTGGTAACAGTCTCAAATTGACCCTCTACATACGAAGTCTGCGACCAATCTCCTCACTCTTGCTCTTAACAAACAGTTCGACCCGATCGTGTTGGTTTGATAACTCTGTAAAGAATTCATTCTCGAATGCGACCAAAGAAGTATCGACATGACCCGGAATAGTGATCGATTTTCCAGAATCTCTTGTGGTATTGTGCTTTATCGAATTCTTCAATTCATCATAATCAAGGTTGTCTAATCGCAGAGCGAGAAAGCTGTGTGTCAGTACAGATCTGCGGCATGATATTTTCGCTATCACACCAATAAAACGAGAATGTTTCACACTCACATGGCGCCCATTGTGGCACAGAATCCGACTGGAATTGTTGACCGTACTTCATTCCCACTACGTACTCGTCTTGGAAAGCTACTCAAGCAATTGTTTCCCTTTTATAAGGTAATGGGATTCGAGGTGTTTAGGATTCCTTTGTTCCTGACCAACTTTCATGTGCGGGTAATAGCGGTCCTGGTGGAGAAAGTTGGAAATTTAATACGCAATGATATCCGCAATTGCAAAGGAAAGGTACGAAGTACAATTAATGTACAGGAGAGTGGATACGAGGATCCAGACCAAAGCTGTGCAAAATCCGCTTGAAACCTGATGCGTCGGTTATCTTTAGGAAGAAAACCGAAACGAATAAAAAAAAAACGAGAAATGATAAGCTTTATGAGGTTGACAGTGCCAAGGGTCCCGGGGAAAGCTGAATGCAGTAACTGGAGCAAGCAGCGTAGGTCAAGCAAGTCCTGCTTCACAAGATATATATATATATATGGTGTAAGTTGTATGGAAGCAGGCGAGTGAGTGTAAGTTGGAGCTGATAATTCTTTCTTTCAATAACTTTGAGACATTGATCATTTAGAATGAGCTTAAGGTACGGATCAGACGATATCTTCTAGTGATAACTGCCACCAATACGGATAGGGCAGCAACGATAGCAAAGATAGCAGCGATAAACTAGAGTTTGAGGGCAATGGGTGACTTTTATAGTGTGAAATACTGTTAAGACTTTAAGACTGTATGTAGAATACGAATCTTTTATGGAAAATTGTATTTACATAGAATCAAGAATTCGAATTTGTTAAAAATCATCAGCCGGACGTCCGCGGAGTGTTTTCTCCTGCTCAAATGAGTTTCCTCTCTTGTCCTTTCGTTATCCTTTCCTTTCCTTACTTCTCTACAAGAGGGTGGCTCGGTGGATGTCTGATGTCTTCATATCAGCGATAGCATGCATATGCACATGGAAGGTCTACGGACTGTGTACTCTATGTACCCACAGGGTTGGTTTCAATTCTGTTCCTTGATTGGTGCGCAGATATCCAACGAATTAAACTCCAAGATGCAGCTGTGATTATTATCTCCCACTGTACGCCCCCGAGGCCCCGTATCGTTCTACCACCGTACAGCTGCACCGAAAGCAGGGCTCAATGGTATCCAATGCCGTGTTGCTGCTTCCTAGGTAGGTATGAATGGTGGTGATTGAAATGAAAGTCCTACCGAAAAGAAATATTCCTTGCAAGTGAAGAAGAAAAATTTGTTATTTTTATTTTTATTTTTACACAACCTTGTTATCAATGACCAATGAGCTTGTCAAGTTGACAGGAAGTATGTTTTGCGATTGCAATAGTTTGGCCGGTTGGTCTAGATGTTCAGTGGGAAAGTCAATCACGATACTAGAGGTATTTGATACATGAAATGTCAAGATAGACAATTGGTTTTAGATCCTGCACGCCTGCAATAGCGTCGCGATCAATAGTGCACAACGAATATTACCTACCTAATGAGTACGGAGTCGGTATCTATAGATGGATCATCGTTGGATCAATGTTGGATGCGAATGATTGGATACGAGATAAAAGTAACTTTAGTTGGAAAGTTACCGATTATCTCAGAACTCCTAGATCTCAGATCTATCTTACTGCCGTTCGTTCCTCATTATCCGGATACCTAGGAATTCGAACCATCAACTCTTCCCATCTCATCATAGAAACAGATCGTACAAAGTGTTATCAGTAATTGGCTTCCCAATACCACAACAAAATCCAGCCAGCATTGAAACAAGGGAGTATGAATGACATAGATTCGATGTTATTGGTAGACATTCATCCGTATATACTAGGTATGCAATGCATTTGTTTTCAATTTAGCCAGTGGCCCCGAGTCATAAGCGAGCACGCCTTTTAGGAAGTACATATCTGGATTTGATGATATGCTGTTGGCTCATTTTCATTATATTGAAGTGGATTTCTTACAACAGGAAACTTGTGCGAATGCTACATGCCATCTTTAGTACAAGTTCCGCGCTCCCGGTATATCTAGGTGTCTACTCTTTCTAGATTGACCCCCAGGAAGACTCTGGCAATCTCTTCTCGTGTGCTCAATTACGAAATGTCGTCCGACTATCAAGATGCTATTTAACCGGCCAACCCCCTCATTTTCAGCAAATTCGATCGCCCCTCAATATGTTGTGATTTCACCTCGAGTCGTGTGAAACTAGAAAATTAGAATAAGATACCAAAGTGGGTGATAATTGGAGACGGCGACGTGACCTTCCTTTCTTACCCACAGAGGATTCGGCCACCCGTCATAAGAAGAGGAGTGGATATGAAATCACAAAACACATCAAGTCATACGGTTGACAAATTCTCATGAGAAGCAACATCTAGAGGTTGTTCTTGACGCATAGAACCCCCACACCTTTCAAGATTTTGAGATTTTCACATGAAATATATTCTTTTGGTCGACATGCATGTTCAATGTTTGAAGGGCTTCGCCTGGGATCCCGCCGTCAATGTTGTACAATGGGTCCGTCTAGAAGCAGTAATAGTGCACGCGAGTGGGTTTCAACCCCTTCAGCGTCGTGCCATGATATTGCACTAAAATGCTAATTATGTGCTACCTGCTGTCATCAACACAACCGTTGTGTTACGGTCGTACATAGTCAGCCATTTATCGAGATGAACAATATGGATTATCCGATTTCGCATGCAACGTCAGGCACGATAAATCGTGTAACGAAGTGCGGAAGGTGTTAACTAGGAATAATATATGCACGTTATTGTACACTTTCCAGCGGATGGAACTGCAGCAAATGGGCCAGAAATGCAGCAGAAATGGAGCAGAAATGCAAATTATGAAATGATTAACTACCGTCTTCAAGGAAGCTTCTGAGAATGCATTGAGCCTTGTAAATCAACTTTGACATTGGAATATCCACCTCTATTAATCACTTGATCGGAGAGATGTATGGGCGAGAATGATATTTCTGCTTTGGCAACATGAAGCTCAAAAATATGTCGAGGAAGAAGGAAGGTCCCCCGGCCATGTCTAGCAGATGGCAATGAAGTACTGGATGATTAACGAGGTTCACGTGACTGTTATCGGGGTTGTGGAAAATACGCTAGTCTTATCGTTAAAAAAACTTCAAAAATGTCAAACAGTACAGACTGAGGGAGCCAACGATGGAGACAGCAGGCAGTATTACCTCCTCGACGACATCAACTTCCCACACAATGACTGCCTCCCCGCCCAGCAAAGCCTCCGCCGCTAAGCTTAATCAAAACGGCACAAATGGATCAAGCTCAATTGAGGATTTAATAGCTGCGCTTGCCTCGACCAATCGTCATACTTTTATTGCGCCTTCATCGAAAATACTCAATACCAGTTCGGATTTTTCAAAGGAGACATTGGACAGATTGGCAGGGAAAATAGGAGATGAGCAAGCTACAAGATTGAAAGAGCAGAGGAAAAAGAGAAAGAGGGGCGATAGGGATGAAGCTGAAGAAGAAGTGTTGAAGATTAGAAAAATACATACCCAAGGATTTGAGGCTCAGCAAGTTTTCGAACAGGCCAAGAGAGTTGTTGATGCACTGAAAGGAGAGGTGGCAAGAGGTCTCGAAGAGCTCGGAATTGGCGGAGATGAGAGTGAAGAAAGTGAAGACGCTGGAGAGGAGGGGTCCGATATGATGAATTTTGATGAGGATGGATTCGCAATTGGTTCAGATGTCGAAGGCGAGGAAGGCGATGAGGACCACCAAGAAATGGATGAGGAATTTCACACGGACTCGGAGGACGAAAACGACGGCCAAGATGACGGGGAGGCTTTCGAAGGGTTCGGAGAGGAAGATGACGAAGAAGACGAAGAGGAGGATGAGGAGGACGAAGCTGGAGTATTTGTCGAGGATCCAAATAAACTCAACGACGGTTTCTTCTCAATCGACGAATTCAATAAACAAACCGAATTTCTCGAAAGGCAGGATGCCTCAGCAGATCCTTATACTGGAGAAGCAAGTGACGAAGAGGATATTGACTGGGGCACCGATCCAATGTCTATGCCAATCAAATCAGATAAGGGATCCAAACGTGCGAAAGCTATGGATGTTTCGGACGGAGAGGATGACGAAGAAGAGGATGGGCCAACATTTGGCAACATGGATTTGAATGCACCTGAAGGAGATAGTGACGACGACGATGATATGGATTTGGATGAAGCTGCTGATGTAGCCGATGACAACACAAATGACATTCTCTACAAAGATTTCTTCGAACCTCCGCCAAGAAAAATCGGCAAAGGAGAACGACAAGCAAACTACCTTGAAAGACAAGCTAAAAAGGCAGCTAAAAAGGCAGCTAAAAAAGCACCTGAAGAAGATGAAGCTGCTATGGAACGAGCTATGGCTGACGTCCGACGCGATCTATTTGACGACGAAGACGACGCCAATTCGGAAGATGCACTCTCAGATCTCGACCCCGGAGACCCTAAATCCCGTCGTTCAGCCCACGAACGTCGCCAAGCGAAAATCGTCGAAGAAATCCGTCGTCTCGAAGCCGCATCCGTCGCAAAACGTGACTGGACACTAGCAGGAGAAGCAAAGGCTCTCGATCGACCCATGAACTCCCTCTTGGAAGAAGACCTCGATTTCGAACGTACCGGCAAACCCGTACCCGTCATCACAGCCGAAGTGAGCGAAAGCATCGAAGAACTCATCAAGAGACGTATTCTCGCCCAAGAATTCGACGAAGTCATTCGTCGTCGTCCTGATTCGCTAACCCCTGCCAATACCCGCCGCGGCCTCTTCGAACTCGACGATTCGAAAAACCAACAGAGTCTCGCGGAAATCTACGAGGAGGAACATATCAAAAACACAAATCCAGATACTTACGTCAGCGCCACGGATGAAAAACTCCAGGCCCAAGAAAAAGAAGTCGAGAATCTCTGGAAGGATATCTGTGCTAAACTCGACGCTCTCAGTTCCTGGCACTACAAACCCAAACCCGCAGCACCGAGTCTCACCGTCGTGGGCGACGTCGCTACAATCAGTATGGAAGATGCTCAGCCGTCTA